TTGCGGAGTCAACGCATTTTAATCAAAGCCTCCCAGATGTTTACGGGATCATCTCTTCACCAATTGCATCAATTGCTAGGTGGAACAATGCCAGAATACGCACAGAAAAAAATGCTCATAGACCATAGACATCGTGACATCATCGACTTGTCATAGACATTGTGGTTCTTGCCAGGTCAGCGACCGATACACGGCTGGTGAGCGGCACTCAATGTCACACCAAGTTCAGATGGATGCTCCACAGGCCGGAAGCCCAAATGATCCGGTCAACATCGACTATGGGTGTTTCTTCGATTGCTCGTTTTATCATTTTTGATTGTTTCATCAGTTTGATTATTTAATATCATTTAGTTTGAATCCTTGGTTGCAGCTCGAGTTGGCAGGGTTTTCAGCTGTTTGCATCTCTTTTGATCAACCAACATCGATCAACCATTACACGATAGTTATGTATTACAATTATTGTACATATTCAGTATTCTTCAGTTTATAATATATATATATATATTAATCATTATATATATGTATCATTATATGATATATACTTGGCTCTCCTAGCATGTGCAGGTTGCTAGGCAATTGCTTGAACATGCTTGAACCTTGGCGCTGATGCCTGCTGGGATTATTACTATATCGACTGATATCGACTGATATCGACTGAGTGCTGATCGGGCTGCAGGGTTTTGACCTGCCCTGGTCTGGAAGGCACCATGTTTGTTCATTTCATTTCATTTCATGCTAGCCTTGTTTTCTAGTTTGTAAAGACTTGTGAAGTGGAACGTGCAGGGCCGTGTTTATCATTGTTTATCCATTTGTTGTATAGACATGTATAGACCGTATAGACGAATCTAGCAAGGCCTAGAAACTTCAGATTTGGGGAGTCAACGCATTTTAATCAAAGCCTCCCAGATGTTTACGGGATCATCTCTTCACCAATTGCATCAATTGCTAGGTGGAACAATGCCAGAATACGCACAGAAAAAAATGCTCATAGACCATAGACATCGTGACATCATCGACTTGTCATAGACATTGTGGTTCTTGCCAGGTCAGCGACCGATACACGGCTGGTGAGCGGCACTCAATGTCACACCGAGTTCAGATGGATGCTCCACAGGCCGGAAGCCCAAATGATCCGGTCAACATCGACTATGGGTGTTTCTTCGATTGCTCGTTTTATCATTTTTGATTGTTTCATCAGTTTGATTATTTAATATCATTTAGTTTGAATCCTTGGTTGCAGCTCGAGTTGGCAGGGTTTTCAGCTGTTTGCATCTCTTTTGATCAACCAACATCGATCAACCATTACACGATAGTTATGTATTACAATTATTGTACATATTCAGTATTCTTCAGTTTATAATATATATATATTAATCATTATATATATGTATCATTATATGATATATATAATTGTATATATATATAATTATATATATAATCTATACAATAGTTATATAGTTGTTAGTTTGACTGTTTGGTACACCTTCTTCCTTGGATGATATACTCGCAATCCATAGCCCTCCAGGTGTTTGCAGCCGATCTTGCCAAGGTGTGGCCATGCCGGCCGTGTCGTCTAAACATATGGTACCGTTGGTACCATTCCCCTAAAATGGAGGGTTTGGATGAACAAATCTGGGAGAATCATGGAACACTAACGCATAAATGTGAGAATTTAAACATTTCTACAGTACATCTGATTACCAGAGGGTACATCCAAAATTGGATGATTTGGATGGTTCGTACATGCTAAAATTTAGATGTTGTTACTTTTATTTTTCAGAATTTGGCCAGTGTGTTACAGGACGACAAATGATGCCCACCCCTTTTTTTCCGAAACAGGTCATCTGGAAAGGTCCGACAAATAGGGATGTCACAATATAAAAATTCATTAATGTTGTGATACCTTTACATGTTATAATCATTTATAATCCCCACAATGATCCCCAAAGTCCCAAAGATCCAAACAGATCAGTGGCATGGAGAGTCTGACGATGCGGAGCCAGAGGCAAAAAGAAAGTTGGCAAACAAATTCAATGTTGCTGAGGAGCCATGATTGCGGGTTGTCTCCAAAGTGTTTCAGAACATCGAAAGAAGAACGGTCTTCTACCCCAGAATTTGTTCAAGTTTTCCACTGGAAGATGCGGCTTTTCCGGAATGGAAGGTAATTACGTTGATTGTTTGACGGCTTGTTGACCAACTTCTACTGCTTTCTGCTTTTAGCCGCAAGATAGATTGACTATTCCGGCCTGACAGTTTTGTACACTGCAACGGAAAGTCGTTTGTTTGATTGTTCTGATTCATTTTCACCAGATCAGTCAGATCATTGATCATCCCCCCAAATTGCTATTGTTTTGGGAGGTGTCACTTGACTTTGGGATCGTTTTACATCATTTTACTGTATGTCTGCACCAGAATATGATCCGAATCCAACCCACCTGCAGCTTTTCAGGAGCCGCCTCAGCTTCCAGTCAACGAGGCAGGGAGTTCCTTTGAGATTTGTTGGAGCTCCAGGGAACATCCACTGGAAGCAGATTCATTGCAGTAAGAGAAATTCGGAATGTGAACGACTTCGAGTTAGAGGACTGAGAGCAAAATAGATGCATGTGGCTCAAAGACGCATGTTATTTCATTATATTATATATATTTCATTCTGAAACCTCGCTTTGCTTGGGTCCCAGTATTTGGTGTTGGGGAGCAAGCTCACCAAAGAGGTGGAATCTGACGAGAAGACAGGCATAGAGAAAGGTATTGTTGGCTTACACTTTTGGCTCCAGCTGCCCAGTGCATCCCAGTACTACCCCTCAGGTTTCTGAAGAGCCAGAGCAGCCGGGGAAACCTGGACACTCCTGGCCGTTCAGCAACAGCTTTCGGATCGTTTCGCTCAACTTGCTTTGTCCTCAGCACTAAGGAGAGAAGAAATTGATCTTCGACAGGTGCCTGGGTTAGCTGGAGACATCTCCTGACCACAAAGGATGTCTTTGAAGAATTTCCCCGACAGGTGAAGCTACATCCAAGGTCAAAGCATTTCCTGTCAGAGGTAGGAGATGTGGCTAGGGTTGTGGGGAGTTTTGGGATGATCCAATGATCCAATGATCCAATTGAACTCCTATGGTTTAAAATTATTGATCCCTTCAATTGGAGGGGGTAGGACCTGTCAAGCCATGCCAAAAAGATCCAGGAATGTGATGGTAACAGTTTGCCATGGAATCCATGGAACATCATCATTTTGCAATATGGGTATGGGTCAAAACCTACTAATCATGTGGTATAAGGGATGACCATCAACCTTGAGGTTCACTGGGGGTACAGGGTTTTGATCCACATCCATATGTAAATCACCATTTATAGTGAATTTTCCCATCAAAAATTGTGATTTTCCATAGTTATGTTAAATTACCAGAGGGTAAATCATGGGTAAGTCATGGCAAAACCTCAAACCAAATGGGCCAAAAAAATGGGGGGGTCCCATGGCCAGGGCCGAACGCCGTTGCACCGCGCGGCGATCCATGGCCGTTTCGAAGTCACCCTGGCGCTCTTGCAGGAGGTGGGTCATCATGTTCAACATGAAGGCTGTCATTCTTGGTATACCACTTTCGGATATACCTCATATGTGGATGAACACATGGATTGTGGATATGTGGATATGTGGATAATAGGTTATTTCTATAAGCCAATATGGGATTACCTCTATGTTGTTCAACTAGATAACTGGGATGAATCGAATTAATCCATATCAACAACTGGAAACTGGTACATTGTTTACATGGATTCCTGTTGGATAGACCCATAATAGCCATTGGACTGGTTAGTGTCGTAGAATCCCACACAGATCTGGTGTCCCAGGGTGTGGTGAACGTGAATGCAAAGGACATGTGGCATCTTTGGGGGGGGGTAGGGCAGCCAAAAAAATCCGAGGACTTGTTTTTTGCAAGCAGCCTATGTGGTTGATTTTCGCTGAAATAGAACATTCGCTGTGGTGACGGTGGCGTTTGGACCCCTGCTTTTGGGTGTTGTTCCCCAACAAAAGAGAGATCAAAATTACATGAACACATCATGAATCGGATGGCAACAAGAAGGGGCATCGAGACATTCCTTTCTCTCAGTTATGGATGCTGTATGAGTTTCAATCTTTGCTGTCAGGACATTCACGGCTGCACATGCCTGCACTATGCTGCCAAAGAAGGTGAAGGGCATTCAGTGTCGACGGATCAGGGGCTCAGATATTTCATATTTCTGGAAAGGCTCAAAACATCTTAAACCGAATGGATGTGGGATGATGTGGGGGATGTACCCCCCAAGTATTGTGATTAACCAATGGATTATAACGCTACCCAATTTTCATTGCCATTGCAGGACACAAGGACATTTGCCGTGCACTACTGAAGTATCCACGTATGGATCTGGCGACTTGGACCACTGTCACATGTGTCGAATTCGCTTAATGTGACTGGGGTGTTTAAACACGGAAACCCAGAACCAAAGTTAACCACCATTTTCTGTTTCTTGGCTTTCTGTATCCAACAATCACAGACCTAGTGAGAAAGGTGATTGATCACTGGTCCAATCGCCCTTTTCAGCCATGGAAGTAGGTTGAGTCTAAGTCTGGGTCAATGTATGCATTCAGCTGGACAAACGCTGGAACTTGGAACTATGCTCACATATGATGCGGATTAAATCTCGCCAACTGAGACTGGGGCTAGCGTGATATATGTGGTTTGCCCAAACGGGTATGTGGCCCAAATATACGGGATATGCCAATGTGTGGCGATCAACCATCACATTTTCTCAAATTTCGGAGTACGCACCATGTTCAGACAACCCCAAATCGGATCACATTTGATTCATCATTGCTATCCCATGTTATCCCTATGACTATAAACCCTGCCCTTCAGGGGGAAAAAACCCATCACCCTCGACCCAAACCCAGGTTGCAGTAGATGCCTTGGGGTGCAACGCACTGCACTGTGCGGCTGCCAGAGGCTTCCATTGTGATGATACCCTTTTGAGATGATCCATACATATATGATACAATATTTTCGTATATACATGTTATATCATGTTATATAATATATACTGTATGACTATATGATACTATATGATACTATATGTATATATTATATTACACACACACATATGTATAATTATATATATATATATACACATATGATATAATATGTATATTGATAGATGTGTATTTGAGTGTATACGTTAGTATGCATGACATGTAGATTTTGAACACCTGGGCCTACGAAGAGCTGTACATTTTCACCGCAGCACGTCAGGTCATGGAGAAATTTGTCAACTAATCCTGGAGCAGAGCTTGGTTGGCATCCATGGCACTTTCCAGACCCTGGTCCAGTTGCTTGGATGTCATGGAGCGTTTGTGTTGGTCCCAGCCATTTTTGGGCTATTGACTTGGGACCTGGGACCTGAGAATTCTGCTGGAATTCTCTGAGGCAGACGAACATTTGGGGCCAAGTTCCTCTAGATGTCTCTACTGGATCAGCCCGGGAGGTGCTTCAGAGCGGAGCTGAAAAGAGCTAGCGCCGATATGACAAGATGCATGTGACGTGACAGGGACAGTGTAAGTTTCTGGAGTCAGCCCCAAAGATTAGACATTGGGTGTGACCACATCGAAGTCATTTCCGAGGGACACAACAGGTGATTTGCATGTGCGCAACTGAATTCTTTGCCATTTGCCATTGCTAGAGCAGGAAGGGCTGTATTGCACGCAACATGTACACCACGCAACATGCACACCACGGCACCCAAGGGGAGAAGTTGGCAAAACTTGGCAAGTTCAGCGACATTTAGCGACCAAATCTTGAGCGTTCGCGGATCAAATTCTGGTAATTCCCGCTGTTATGTTTGGGCTCAGCCAACGCCAAGTGTGGTGATGGGCAGCGGGAGACGGCTCCAGGCCAGTGTTTTCTCCTAAGATCTCATGATGTTGGCATTTTTGAGGTGATCATCGTTGATCATAGATTGATCACAGAGTCTTCATAATGTTTACAATGGATTCTTTGTGTGACAGATTCTTAAAGTGGTCTCATTTCTTGGTGTGTGTTCAAGGTGACTCTAAGATTACATTGATTTTGGATGATTTTGCCGTCGACCGTCAAACTTGCAAAACCTTGTCTTCACCCAGCAGACAATGATGACAATGGACATTTTGATTTGAAACCTTGAAACCGGTATCCTACCATATCGCACCAGATATTATCTACCAGGAATCTACCAGATATCTAAATATATCCCAACCTTAGTAATATTGTTCTAGCCATAAATATCCATAGATTATATCAGCATATGTCAGCCGGGTATATCTATAATAATCTAACATATCTAATCTCGCAACCTTAGAAACCATGTTTGGTTCCAAATTGCCGGACTCATTTTCTGGACGATCAGGTGCACGACTGACTGGCATGCCAGGGGTCTTTGAGGTGGAAAACACAGTCGGTGGAAAGGAACAGATTGCTGCAATAGTGAATTGTACATAATTGTGATTAATTATGTGATATTACACTTATGGTACAATAAATATCACACTGCAATGGTGAATTGTACAGAATTGTAGTATATTGTACTGATGGTCACTTATTTTTTGTGATATTTATGGCCTGACGTTTCCCATATGGACATTCCCGACGTTTCTGAGTTCTGAGTTCGCACAAGTCCAGCGAACAGTCGATGATAAATCAGATATGGCACACTCTTTGCCACACTATTAGATGTGTATTCATGTGTTCGAATACATGGCATCAATATAATTACAGTGCGCAATATGTGTACAGTCTATATATATAATTATAAATATATGATGTGAATAGGCATGCATGCACATTCCATATATATATAATATTATATATATATATTACATGTAACATAATACAATACGTCACATCCTACATTATTTTACATACACTTTTCCATGTCGCAACACGAACAGAATCGAACAGATGTAGACCCTGAGGAGTTGCAGCCATGCCTGGACTATGGGAAAAAGGCGTATGAGGCCATCATGAAGGCGGACCTCCCAGAGGCAGCAGCCGCAATCGAAGGACACTGCACCTTTGTGCCGGGGAGCTCACTTTGAGTTGTGGAAAAAGTGTGGAAAGACTATTGTAGCATCGCCAAAAATGGGGTATGTGAAAATTTGAATCAGATTCATTCCCAATATTCCCATATCCGAAAATGGGCAGTTATATATTGTTATAAAATACGTACACATTACCAAACGTGTTTGGTCCCCTGCCTGAGTCTGACATGTTGACCCAGTACGAGGCGTTGTTGACAGGTTACTGAAGTTACTGAAGGTATAGGAATTCTGATCTCTTCAAATCACATTTCGATGATGTTACCAGTATTTTTCGACTACCTCGGTGATCATAGGGAAATAGGATGAAATAGGATATTCAAAGGCTCCATTTGAACCCTTGCGGCACCCTTGCGGGCTATTTATGTCTATTTGGGCTGATCTCAAATGCTCAGGTGGGACTGGGTCCCAGAAGAGATGCCCATGGAGTGCCCCTGGCGTGTTTGGACCAGCCTTTGGATGCCTTCCAAGTGGTTTTTATATGTTTTTATTTCCGCTGTGAAAACGGTCCCGGGCCTTCTCAAACATTCTGAACCAACATATCGACATGTTGTTGGTCATTAATGTCAGTATCAGGGGTGAAAGCAGTGTTGGGTCATTTGTTGGGCTTTTCTCTGCCACCGTGCACAGGAATGATTCTGGCACAGCCATGGATGATGCTGTCATGAACTCAGTTCTGGGTCAAGCTTCGAGATGAAACGCGAATTGAAGTTGCATATTTAATCATCGCTACCTAAAAAAAAAAGGACCGGATAACCCCACAAGTCAACTTCTTCCAATAATAAGCATGAAAGGTTGTAGCAGGGACGGGGAAAGAAGGTTAGGGGAAAGGAGGCGGTGAAGGATCGAGAAGTTAAAACAGTTGTGAGTGACAAAGTGGAATGTGAAAGATGGGGTGTGTGTGTGACACAGCAGTGTGTGAAAGATGGCGTGTGTGAAAGTTGTGTGTGAAAGAGAGTGTGTGACAAAGTTGTGTGTGAAAGATGGTGTGTGACAAAGTGGTGTGTGAAAGATGGTGTGGCGAAAGATGGTCGGTGTGTGACAAAGTTGTGTGTGAAGGATGGTGTGGTGAAAGATGGTGTGTGACAAAGTGGTGTGTGAAGGATGGTGTGCTGAAAGATGGTGTGGGTGAAAGTCCTGTGTGAAAGAGAGCATGTGACAAAGTTGTGTGTGAAAGACGGTGTGTGGCAAAGTGCTGTGTGAAAGATGGTGTGTCAAAGATGGTGTGTGACAAAGTTGTGTGTGAAAAATGGGGTGGTGAAAGATGGTGTGTGGAAGATGGTGTGGTGAAAGATGGTGTGACAAAGTGGTGTGTGACAAAGCGGTGTGTGAAACTTGGTGTGTCAAAGATGCTGTTTGACAAAGTTGGGTGTAAAAGATGGTGTGTGAAAGATGGTGTGTTACAAAGATGGTGTGTAAAAGAGGGTGTGTCAAAGATGGTGGGTGACAATGTGGTGTGTGAAAGATGGTGCGTGAAAGATGGTGGGTGACAAAGTTGGGTGTGAAAGATGGTGTGCCAAAGATGGTGTGTGACAAAGTGGTGTGTGAAAGAGGGTGTGTCAAAGCTGGTGCCACGCCTGCCACGCAAAACGACAGTGGATGTGAGTTTGTGCCACGCCTGCCACGTGAAACGAAGGTGGATGTCACCAAGTGCCACGCCTGCCACGCAAAGTGGCGCGGCGCCCCGGCGACAAATCCCGGCCCAAGGGCGCCACCCAGTACCATAAGTGGCACGCCTGCCACGCAAAACGACGGTAGATGTGAGATTGTGCCACGCCTGCCACGTGAAACGAAGGTGGATGTCAGGTTGTGCCACGCCTGCCACGCAAAGTGCCGCGGCGCCCAGGCGCCAAATCCGGCCCAAGGGCGCCACCCAGTACCATAAGTGGCACGCCTGCCACGCAAAACGACGGTAGATGTGAGATTGTGCCACGCCTGCCACGTGAAACGAAGGTGGATGTCAGATTATGCCACGCCTGTCACGCAAAGTGGCGCGGCGCCCCGGCGCCAAATCCCGGCCCAAGGGCGCCACCCAGTACCATCAGTGGCTCGCCTGCCACGCAAAACGACACTAGATGTGAGTTTGTGCCACGCCTGCCACGTGAAACGAAGGTGGATGTCAGGTTGTGCCACGCCTGCCACGCAAAGTGGCGCGGCGCCCCGGCGCCAAATCCCGGCCCAAGGGCGCCACCCAGTACCATAAGTGGCACGCCTGCCACGCAAAACGACGGTAGATGTGAGATTGTGCCACGCCTGCCACGTGAAACGAAGGTGTGGACAAAGTGTGTGTGGACAAAGTGTTTGGTGACAAAGTGTGTGTGGACAAAGTGTGTGGTGACAAAGTGTGTGTGGACAAAGTGTGTGTGGACAAAGTGTTTGGTGACAAAGTGTGTGTTGACAAAGTGTGTGTTGATAAAAGTGTGTTCACAAAGTGTGTGGTGACAAAGTGTGTGTGGACAAAGTGTGTGGTGACAAAGTGTGTGTGGACAAAATGTGTGGTGACAAAGTGTGTGTGGACAAAGTGTGTGTGGACAAAGTGTGTGTGGACAAAGTGTTTGGTGACAAAGTGTGTGTTGACAAAGTGTGTGTTGACAATGTGTGGTGACAAAGTGTGTGGTGACAAAGTGTGTGTGGACAAAGTGTGTGTTGACAATGTGTGGTGACAAAGTGTGTGGTGACAAAGTGTGTGTGGACAAGTGTGTGGTGACAAAGTGTGGAGGAGGGCGGAGGAGGAGAAGGCGGAGGAGGAGCCCGGGATACAGAATCAAAAACAAGAACCCCACACAAAGATGTGGGGAACTAAAGAGTTGGAAACTTGGAAATGGAGGAAACTGGAAACTTCATCTATAAATATCTATAACATTCATGGAGACTTTCTATCTGGGGACTCCATGGGACTGTCTCCATTGGCTCCCGAGATATCCCCAGATCATCCCGCGAGGTCCGAGAGATTGTGGCAAACTCTTGCTGCCAGCCCCTTGCATTGGTTTGGTTCCATTGCCTGTGGAGCCTGAGGGTGGATCCATCAGATTTTGGGGAGATGTAGAGTCGATGGTACTTCTGAAGGCAAAGCTGAAAGATGCTGAAACTATGACCGCAATATGAAAGCACGCATGTTTGCAGATTCATTACAGACTGAGTTACGTTTGATTTCCTCACCAATCATGATGATACATGCCAGAGGGTTCTTTGTTTTAATGCAGGAAACTATTTGAAAACAAAATGCTTGAATGCTCCAGATGAACAAAAAACTATTGACAACTTTGATAACTATTAATACATTTAAATTTTAAACATATATAGTCTTGTCACGTACAGTACACATGCAACCTCCAAATTAACAAGAGGATTTTACTAGTTGTACCTACCCCAGTCTGCGCGAGGGAAGTTTCCAAGCTCACTGGCATCACGGCTCAAGCGGAGGCTGGTCATAAGTTTAGATAATCTTGTTGTTTTGCCAGTGTCCTTCAGGGTTGATGTTAGATCATGTTGGCTATCAACATCAACCGTTGAACCAGTTCGCCAAAATCAACATCACCATCAGAGATCTAATCCAACATCAAACCAGTTCGGCAAAGTCTCAGCTTGGCTCATCATTGCAGGACATCCTGGTTTTCGCGGATCAAGCGGGTCTTTGTCAGAGGCTGCTTGATTTTGTTGAAACATGTGCAATGTGAACTCCTGAAATCAGATGTGGAAAAAAATGTCCAACGTGAATCAACATACTAGAAGAAATAGAAGTGGCAATAGCAAATTGATGCAAATTGGGTACCGCCAAAGTTGATGGATGTTTTCTTGTTTACCCAACTTTTTTCATCATTTTCCTCATTTTTTACGTGTTTTTTTCCCCTCTCTACGCTGGCTGACTCCAGGATTCTGGAGAAAGCTCCTGAGGGTCGAGCCATGGACTCAAGACGGTGGAGCAAATCCTTGAAATACCCAATATCCAAGAATCTCTATATATATATATATACACAATATATACAGTTTATATAAATCTATTCTGTAATATATTGTAATATGCAGTATAGTTATATATGATAAAGAATGAATATGTCTAGTAGTATCTAGTACATGGATATATGCTATATATGTAAATATATATGTATATAAATATAACGTGCAATGAGTTGGTTCTGAGACATGTTGTTTTTGATTACCCACTGGTTCTAGGTGTTTACTTTTTTTCACTGAAGATGTGTGTATATATATATACACATACACATGCCCAGTCTTGATCAAACTGCATGTAATCATGCTTGCTTTGGGACATCGTGTTTGATCCACATTTACTCAGAGACATTTGCTGAAATTCTCAAGAAGCTTCACTGTAGGTGTACAGAACTTAGACACTGCTTGCAAGATCATATGCTGATATGTGCATTCCGGCAAGCAGCTGATGTATGCTTAGATATGCATGTTTGTGGAACCATTTGTACAGTGCGGCACCATGTATACACAAGGTTCTCAGTTCCCTTACATGCAGCAATATTATATTATATCTAGTTCATTATAGTACACATATTTATACTATATATATATACTCTGTATATACTGTATAATACTGTCAGACTGTATGTGTATATATATAATATCATCATATCCACCATGTCCGGCCCTGCGATTTCTTGCGAAGCGTCACGGTCACATTCCTGGCTGAAACAGGTAGGCTCCAAGAAGGTGGTCACGAAGCCACCTCGCTTGCTGACAGCGGAGCCTTGTTTTGCGCGCCGCGACATCCCAACGTGGTAACGTTTAAGCACCATGGTTGGATGTCGTTAATAATAGACCATGGTAGGCCTAATAGTATGACATTATAGTTGATAATATCAAACTACTATCAAAGTTATTAGTTACTAATATTATTGCTAATATTAGTTATTAGTAGTAAAACCATAATAAACCACCCATACTTTGATGGTTTATTATTATACGCTTTGAACAATTGGGGATGGTTCATTGCTTTAGAAACATCATCACAATATCTCAGAATTGGTTTCCAGGGAAAATCTGCAGCAACGAGATCCATTTGGGGATTTGAACACTCTGCTTTCCTGTAGATTTTCCCATAAATCAATCCAATGAACTGCCGGTATAACTTTGGGGGACGTTACGAATCAAAGCATCAGCAGCGAACATGGATGAAGATGGGGATTTTGCAGATTAAGATTGGGAATGGATCAAAATTGAGAGCCGAGTGGAAGCACTTTTTTTGATCGTACTTCGTCTTAAAATGTCCCAAACAGTGTGAAATCTTGACCCGTATTCATTTGGGTAAAAGTCAGGCTTGGGAACATTAGGGAACCCAGCAGTCCCAGCTTTGCAGGAGGATTGCCAGGCCTTCCTGTCGAAAGGGAAATATGCTGCAGCCTCAGAGACTCTGCGACCCATGGCTGAGACTTTTAGAGTGGCAACCCATCAAGTCCTTTCTTGGGGAAACTAGGGAAATTGGCAGCCATTCTTCATATTTCCATATATTTCCCAGTCTTTTGGGATATAATTATAGCAGATTGTATCCCTATCATCATTCATCATCCCGAAAAAGGCCCTATACCTATCATATACCTATCATATCCTTCTTATACCTATCTGTCATATCATCATATCCTTATCATTCCCTTTCTTCGTTGATTTGATCGGATCTCTTCGGCCAAAAGGATTTGCTGTTGATTGGCTCTCCACTGGATCCGCCCAAAAGCCACTCGGCAAGGTTTATGAATTATATCAATTATACAATATCTCTATGATTATCGAATGATAAATCATTGATAAATTGTATGATTAATGATTTTATATCTACCAGTAGTACCGCACAAGGCGGTGGCGGAAGTTTCAGAATAGGAAACCTATAGGAGACGTTGGTTGTTGTGAATCACGGATGGCAGAGAGAATCCACTGATTGACCGAAAGGTGGTTGGAGTTGTGTTTGCTGGAATGGTTGCAATGGTTGCAGTGGTCACCTCACCCACAACTGCTGGATGTAGTGTGATGTACTGCAACTGTAGTTGTAGTTGTAGGGTAGTGGAGTTGTAGTTGTGGTGTAATGTAATTAGTGTAGTGTAGTTGCAGTCATATAGTTGTAGCTGTAGTTGTTTTGTAGTTGTAGTTGTAGTTGTTGCAGTTGTAGTTGTTGTTGTAGTTGTAGCTGTAGTTGTTGTGTGGTTGTAGTAGTAGTAGTAGTTGTTGTTGTAGTAGTAGTAGTAGTTGTTGTTGTTGCTGTTGTTGTTGTTGTAGTTGTCGTTGTCGTTGTCGTTGTCGTAGTAGTAGTAGTAGCTGTTGTTGTTGTAGCTGTAGTTGTTGTTGTAGCTGTAGCTGTTGTAGTTCTAGTTCTAGTTGTTGTTGTGTAGTTGTAGTTGTAGTTGTAGTTGTGGTAGTTGTTGTTGTTGTTGTTGCTGTTGTTGTTGTTGCTGTTGTTGTTGTTGTTGTTCTAGTTGTAGTTGTAGTTCTAGTTGTAGTTGTAGTTGTTGTAGTTGTAGTTGTTGTAGTTGTAGTTGTTGTGGTTGTAGTTGTTGTGGTTGGTGTTGTTGTGGTTGGTGTTGTTGTTGTTGTTGTTGCTGTTGCTGTTGCTGTTGTCGTCGAAGTTAGGGTAGTTAAGTTAGTGAAGTTAGTTAAGTTAGTCAAGTTAGTTAAGTTAATCAGTGTCTACTTTTTCGACATCTTCACGTCAAAAAAGGCTCAAAACCCGCAGTCTTTTACACTTTTAACTTCCAAATATGCTTCGCGCCACAACGGCGTGCGCTTTTTCGAAACTCCACCTCTCAGCCTCCAAAAGTGGTCCGAACCCCTGGTGTTTTGCACATTTTGACTTCGAAATGTGCTTCGCGCCACAACGGCGTGCACTTTTTCGAAACTCGACCTCTGAGCCTCCAAAAGTGGTCCGAACCCCTAGTGTTTTTAACATTTTGACTTCGAAATGTGCTTCGCGCCACAACGGCGTGCACTTTTTCGACATCTCAACTTCCAAAAGTGGTCCGAGAATGGTGTGTTTTGTACATTTTGACTTCGAAACGTGCTTCGCGCCACAACGGCGTGCACTTTTTCGACATCGGAACTTCCAAAAGTGGTCCGACCATGGTGTGTTTTGTACATTTTGACTTCAAAATGTGCTTCGCGCCACAACGGCGTGCACTTTTTCGACATCGGAACTTCCAAAAGTGGTCCGATCCTCTAGTGTTTTGTCCATTTTGACTTGGAAATGTGCTTCGCGCCACAACGGCGTGCACTTTTTCATGTCTCATCTGGCCAGCTGGCTCCACACCCGCCGCTTTAGCGAGCCTACTTTTCGACCCTCCGGAGCCACAAATCATTGGAAAGACACAGTGAATCGCGACTTTCCTATCTTTTCGCGCATCTACCTCTTCTTTCTTCTGATCTTTTCTCTTCTGACTCTTTTCACCTCTGCTTTTCAACTGTCCATATTGTCGGAAGTTTCACTTCTAAACTTCCTTCGATAATTATCTTGAATTATAATTAATGATAAATAACTCTATGCTTGTATAGTTCAATAGGGAACATGTGCTTTGATGTGCTTTGAACTTAAATGGCATTCTATGGATTTTTGGGAAACCCACATTTGAACACAACCCCAGAAGGCATGTCTTCGATGGCGGCTTCCAGGCAACAGCCCACCAGATGTGATCGCCCAACAGTCAGCGGTGGACAAGTTTCTGTTTCACTTGTTGCAGACAGCGAGTCTGAATGCCGTTCCGGCCTCTTTTGAGCTCTTGATGCTTTATGATATGATGCCTTGATGATCTTGATGTAGTGCCAGACACAGTTTCAAATTATGTAGAATAGAAGTAGGCTTACCATGGCTTACCAGGGACTAGTGTTATAATTTTTCCGCCGGAACTGGTCACATGTCATGAAGCAGATGATTAAAATAGAGATCCACATAGATCCACATAGTGATTTGGTCGCTGGTTTCATCTGGTTTCAAATACCGATTGGAGTTTCTCATCCCCAAAAATTGGAGAATGAACCCAATTTATTTAATACATTTTATTACAATTTCATACTAATTATGCATGTTTTTTGGTGGTGTCCCTGTGGCTTAGCCAGTTCTGGCACCTTAGTGACCGAAACAGCGACACTGGCTGGCCAGGAGGGCTGCGTGCAGCGACTGGCAGTGCTTACCCATGACGCTTGGCAGAGCCTCCAAAAAAATGGTGATGACTTGGGGATGGTTTATGAACTTGGGCTTAGATTCAATGGATTGGTTTAAGGGAAAATTTACAGGAAAGTCCCATATTTAATGGGAAAATCTATGGTTTCCTGTAGATGTTCCCTTAAACCAATCCATTGATAGATGGGTAGTTTAGCACACCAATCCATTCTTACCAATAGCAGATACTCCCAATAATATCCAATAATGGAGCCCAGCGTGAATGATAGGATCCAACACTACCATCTAGTTTGGGTGGTAACACTCGGTATGAAATGAGGTGATTCAGCCCCAATTTGATGGTAAAATTTAAGATGGGGATTTCACCAGCAAACTAGTTGGAGTTGCACATGGCCAGTGTTAGGCACAGCAAGATTAACCTATCAACCTATCAACCTATCATCATTTCTGTAATTTCTATCAGAGTTGAAGACGATATTGAAAAAACCTCGAACCCAGGACACCTTCTCGGTGGAGAAGGAAACCCATCAACAAAGAGGCCCACTGGGTGCCCGGTACAACAGATTGGGTATCCATGAGCTGCAATAGATCTGTCTCGCCCCAGCCATAACTTTCACCTGACCAGGCCTTAGCATTGTGGCTGGTGTGCTCGACTCAGCTCTCTACATTGATGTTGAGGATGTGGCCACGACAAATGAACTGTTCGCTTTCTGTGTAGATTTACCCAAGGAGGCATAGCTGGCATAGCTCCTCGGTTGGCCTGAAAATAGGGTCTCCAAATGTTCATGCTGCATCAACAATTTTCATCAATTTTCCCCTGTTCAATGATTGGACTTGAATCAGCGGTTACTTTAATTTAAAGTTATGTTACTTGAAAATTCATATGGCAGTGTGTCAAAATCTTGTACCCCTGGTGAACATCAAAATAGCTGGTAAATGGATGTTCATCCCACTAAAAATGGTATTAATAGGTATTGATCCATACCCATATACGTACTTTAACAGTTACTTGAGAATTGTCAGTTACTGTCAGTTACGCACTGAATCTGGCTGAGTCCACCATTTTTGGCATGATGAATACAGCCCGGCAAGAGCTTGGCATCCCGGTGCATGTCGTGGATGTTGCGGGGCACTCAGTGACTCAGTGGGAGATTTGTGGGTGACAGGATGGTGAGTTGAATTGTTTTAAAACTTAAAACTTGTGAAAACGTGGCAATCTACCTGTTAAACATTGTTTATTTATATATTTATTTGTTAAAGCAATTTAGACCAGGTGGCTTCTCTATTGAACAATGATGGTTTACCTGCAAAAGACTGCCCGTTTATTGGGAAAAAGGGGATTTACCCTTTGGTCATTTGCTGCCATCACCAATTTGAGGTACATCATTGGAATATGTTCCATAGCTATGTTAAGTTACTAGAGGGTAGACATATTAGAGCTTGAAGCGAGTCGGGTGACAGCTTTGCGGCTCCGAGCCGCCCAGCCAGGAGTACTTGGATCGACCTGACATGATACCGAACTTGGTCTCCGAGATTTTCAGGATCGCCTGAGCTTCACAGTTTGCTAATTCAAGGGAGGATGGATCAGGCTTCACGCTAGGTTCAGCTTTGCAAATTCAAGGATTTCAAGGTCAATAGATGTCAACAGTTCAGTGCAGTCCCAGAGTTGAGTCTTTTTCGACTCCCAATTCGAAGGCGGGTGATTCTGTTCCCCCGTGATCCGCCAGGTTAAACACCTTTGGGGTTGGGACCTCAGATTCTCCAAATTTTCAGCACCATTTCAACAAGAACCCGTCCTGGCAGATGTGGGCCGATCCAGGTGAATACCGTCCGGCAATGCTGGCCCTATCCGCTGTACAAAGGCATCCGTGTGGATCGGCCCACGGGGTCGGGAGCTCAGGGGGTCAAGAAAGGGTACCCTAAATTCATTGGTTCATCATCATTATCCCTAATATATTATACCTTTTTCTGGCCATTTGGGGATACACCACATTTTCAGAGACACCTAGATTTTCGGGAGTGGAAGCTATATTTTCATTTGTGTTCTAAAAGTGATCACCATGTCTTCCTGGGTTTTCATTGCGTTCCTTGGCACGCAAAATGATTGAACGCAAGCGTGGCAACCAATGGCTTTGGCTTTCAATTATTGGTCCCCCTTGTGGGATTGCTCAATCTGACCCCAAAAGACCAGCCTTTGTGGCTCCAGTCATTGGTATCCCAATAACTTGAGCCTGTCCACGCCAGGCGCTACATTTACCGACAGCTTCTCTCGCGCGCCTACGAAAAGAAGGCGGACAAGCCTTGGGCAGCTTGGCATCGTGGCACTGAAGGGCCACGCAATCCTTTGATGGTCTAATGGTGGTGAATTGATGGTCTAATGATGGTGAATTGATGCTTATGGTTGAATGGATAATCAAAATGATGGTAGAATGGATGGTAAAATGTTGTAAACTGATGTAAACTGATGGTTTAACATGGTTTAACATGGTTTAACGATGGTTATATGATGGTTTATTGACATCTACAGTATGTACCCCTAGGCTTGCATGTCTCAAATTCTCAGGATGTGCCCAGCGAGGGTATCATCGCCATCAGCGGCGGCAACGGTGCTCTCGGTTTAGTGACTCGTTTTGAATGGTAACTAAATGTAACTAATCCCTTCCCAAATATTGAGCACGCATAAACCATGGTTTAGTAAGGGATGACATCAGATAGTTGGGACCATACAATGCAGATGTTTAACATCCATAATTACCAAGAGCCAGAGTGTTGGGTATGAACCTTGAAGACTTCCTGGAGACTCTCTTTGACATATGACATGCATCATGATATCAATCCGATTCAAAGCGGCACTTTCACTTGAGTGCAAATGACACTAATTATCCAAGTACGTACATATATATATATGTATATATATATGTATATATATATATGTATATAATAACATACGATAATATATACATATATGTATAATAACGTACGATATAGTATATATATATACAGTAGACATGTAATTGAATATGTACCCCAAATATACATAAATATACCCCAAATCTACTTAAGGGGTTCCGATTGGTTAAGGCATGCTGACTGAGAAGTACTACTGTATCATTTGGTGTAAAACTAGGCTCACATACTTATTGCTTAAAGATGTTCTCCGCTTTGTTGGATGGTATTTCTTGAACATGCAGCATATATGCAAGGTCCCCAGTTAATGATGCCTCGTTTATTACGGTATATTATACATTGCTGTGTATGGATAATGATACTAAATAACACTAAGGTTTATCTAATATCATCATGGTATCAGTTTATAGTTGGTATCTACATTAAATAAAAAAATGTTCTAATCATGGTACCCTACTATATAGTCTATATAAACTACCCTCTGGTAATTTAACATAGCTATTGAAAATGACCGTTTATAGTGGATTTTCCCATTAAACATGGTGATTTTCCATAGTTTTTTGTATGTTTACCAGAGGGTATCCTATTTGCTTCAGTATTTGCGAGGTCATGGGCACCTGGTTGCTGACGCGAGCGGAGCAGCAGGTGAAAGCCAGCGGTGGGGATGCTGAATTTTTTTTGCTTCGCCAGGAAAGTCGTGGATTCCGTCACAGGAAATCACAGGAAATCCAGAAAAGGTGTGCTTAATAATGGTTGATACATGGGGCGTTCCTGAAATTATGGAGTGGACCCTAGCAAAACTGCTATTTCATAGGGAATGTCATGATAAACAAGAGGACCTTGAGGGGCAATTTTAGGGGCACTAGATTTTCAGACAAACCCACATGTCTAAATTAGTGGTTAATCATGGGGGAATTCGGGAGCAACATTAGAAAAACAAAAAAACAAACATGGTGGACTTTCGTTTATGGTAGAAATATGGCAGAGATAATATAATATAGTAGATGATATGCGGTCGACATATTCTTAGTTGCTCTAAGGTTGGTGGTTAAACAGCGGTTACAAGCTGGTCGTCAACCAACTGGCCATAGGGAACTAACCTTGAAAGATGATGCTTCCTTCTTCGGATGTGGGCAGACCGCCGACCCCACTCCAGGCAATTTTTTTTTATCACAGAGACGTAGTTGCACTGTATATATTCATAATTGCAGGTTTGCCATATATTGCAACAGCTCTTAGGGACAGGACTAATACAGATGGGAATTTTTCGTTTACATTCCAAGTCAGAGGAAAACAATGTTTTTCATCCCTGCCTTCTCAGGTGGATATAAACATATATATATATATAAACATATATAAACACAACCAGCAATCACCACCAGTGGACCAGCTGTGCTTGTTGTTCAATGTGCTGTGCGATGTGTAAAAATTCTGGCTAAGGTGGCCAGTACAAGCCCCAGTTTTCAATTCAGCCAGAAGCTGAGTGAGCACTGCTCTCCTTCAAGTTTTTTGAAGTTGGAGCGGGTAAGTGGTGGTAGACATTGTAGACATAGGGCAAAAAATAACGTTTAATGAGGTGAACGCTGTTTCTCGCTTTGGTGAACGCTGTTGAAGCCAAAGAACTTGGATGTCGCCAGTGCATGCCAGTGCTTCCAATGCCACTCACACCACCAAGATCCTACGTGGCTTTGTCCAAAAATGGGTTACTCAAAAATTTGATGCTTGATCATCAGATTCCCAGCCTTTACCCACTAGGTCACTAGGCGTCTATATTTCTAGGCAAAACCATCTGTCCCTGAGGTTTCTGTCACGTTCTGCCAAGATCAGTGACTTGAACGTGCCATTGTGGAACAAGGTGCTGAGCTGCAGACCGATCTGCTGCGCCGATGCCAAGCAGAAAGACCCGTTTGGCGGTGTTTGAAACTGGGGGACACCCTTAAATGGCAATTTGAATGGGGAAAATTAATGAAACTTATATATAATATACATATGATATGATGATAAAACAGAAACATCAAGTCTGCAGGTACCAAGAGGTAGCCTATTTTCGGACAAAGCCATGTCTATTCCAAATTCATTTCCAATCTTCTGGAGGTCCAATCCAAAGCCGATGCCCTCGGCGTGTCAGTGGTGCAGGGCAAGACGGATATGGGCTTGGGGGCCCTGGATACCTTGGGGGTCTCGAGTCTCAGTTGGCTCCTAGTTGGATGCACAAAAAAGATCAAAAAAGCTGTAAACAAATGTAAAGAGATCAAGATAAGTTGCCGAATTTTATCAAGTTTCAGGAATTTGAGGACAACATCAACCAACTTCAGGATATTTAGGGATATCATTGGCCAAACTTGGGGATATCATCAGGGTATTGGCCAAGTCACGACGATCCGCAAAATGACTGGCATGATTGGAATTTGCACTAGTAGCAGACTAAAAGTGCCAATCATTTGATGTATATTTGATGTATCTTGAGGAATCTTGGCGACATGTAAAAAAAGTACAGGTGGTTAGAATATTTGGAGGTGTCATGAGGTTTCCTAAAATCGAAGTACCCAAGTACCTTTTTGGCAAATAATCCATGTTTATCGATTTTTGGGGTAGCCATGGCTAGCCTATGGTAGCCTATTTCAAGACGAATTCCGAGGCTCCCAGGCAGCGGTGGACAAGTTCGTTGCAGAGGTGCGTACGTTGTTTCGACGCCCCCATTTGGCCGTTTGAATGTGGAAAATCACCATGAAGCCATGGAAAATTTGGGGGACCCCATTTTCAGACAATCCCACATATGGAAAATGGATGAACATGGCCGTGGCCATTAGTACTAGGTAAAACATCATAAAACATCTATATATAAATGTTATCCATAGCAATTTCCTGTTACTGGGTTTGTACACATCCAAGGTTTCTGGTGGATGGGGCTGACAACATTAGCATTGGATTACCCCCAGCATCCAGCAGCCAAGGCACTGTATAATCTGTATATCACTTGTGTATCAAATGGACACGTGTGAGTTCTGATTCTGGATTCTATATGGATGGTGTGCTTGTGCATGTAAACATCATAGACACATCACAATAATATGAAGAGAATCTATTCATATCTATTACATATATATATATAATTATATATATATATACATTATAATGTGTAGATAATAATATTAAACATAGGGGTTTGGATACTTATTATATAGATCATTATATAATAATTATTATAGATCATTATTATTATTATCATTATAGATTTGGATACTGATTTTATAGATCATCAAATACTTATTATAATCATCATTATATATTTATAGATCATTATATAGATCATTAAATATATAATCCATAATCTGCTATTATAATAGATTATTGTGGATCTATAATGATCTATAATGGCAACAATCTATAGATATTTATTATCGATCCACAACATATACCCTCTGGTAGTTTAACATAACTATGGAAAATCACCATTTTTAATGGGAAAATCCACTATAAATGGTCATTTTCAATAGCTATGTTAAATTACCAGAGGGTAGCAACAATCCAAATTTGGATGTCCCGGTGAGGTGAGTCCAAACCTCGCTGGCTTCATCCACTCAGCTGGCGTCTTGCAGGACGATTGGACGGATGAAGCAACGGGGTTGCGGTTGAAGCAATTGATATTTTTTCCACAAGAAACATGGGGATAGATCTGGGTAAATTATAACGACCTCACTGCGACCTCACTATAATCATAGTTAGTAAGGGGAATCATCCCCAAATGGCCTTAATTCAGGTTAGTGAATTATTATAATTTACCCAGATAGATATCAACTTGAAAGATCTTGAAACCAACCATTTGATGTGAATATCATCACCAATTGATGTGTGTGTTGAAAAAAGAATTTATGGTAAGTCTAAGAGGGAATATCAAGGAAAATCATGATCAAAGATGAAATTTGGGGTACCCAATTTTAGGACAAACTCCGCGGATCTCCGCGGTGTTTCATGCCGAAAGCAGACATATATAATTTGTAATTATTTAACTTGGTATTCCTGCGAACAGCTGAGCAGATGAGAGCAATTTATTTTGAGAGTCGGACACTAATTGAACAATATACATGTGAGCTTTTTCAGTCTGATGTCTTTGTTTTCCATGATTTTACGTGCAGCATTTTCTTTGTCTCATTGAAGAGGAACACAGAAGTCCCTGGTGAACCAGATTTGATCTACGCTTGCAGTCCATTTCCAGGGAAGCCATGCTTGATCCCGGCGGAATAGTCACTAGCCCCGGAGGACTCCATGTTGCCCAATCAGACCTGGGAGAAATTCGAGGCTTGACGACATGAATGTTGTGGAGTTCTTGCAACAGGGCACACTTCGAAGATTTTGGATGGTTTTGAATGATTTTGGATGTCAGCATGCTCAGATGAGACTCACAATGACCATGAATTCAAAAGGTCCTTGACTTCTTGACTTGCAGAATGTTTGCTGAATATTGCTGAATAAGGTGCATCCAGGAAACATCAAAAACTTGCAATAGCAGATGTAATCCTGAACAGGTTTGATTAGTGGCCAGAAAGTTCCGAGTCGAAACCTGTTTGATTTGGAAGGCTGTATACGACTCCAAGCATCGAGCAGCCATCTTTTTGCATGATGCGTCCGGGCTCTGGGCCAATCTCCTTCCTCATTTGCTTGAACATGTAACATGTGGGAACTGAGCAAGATACAGGATGCATCGAGCTTGAGGTTTTGAAGCCCCAGGCAAAGTCCATTCTTCTGGACCAAGAGTGTTGCAGTTGTGATACAGATGATATTTCACAGTCCTGTGTGCCTATTGTTGTGAGCGCTACCCTCTTGCCATGCCATTCGAACCAAGGCTGGAGCGATTCGAGAATCCAAAGCTGCAGTTCTTCTGGGTGTGACCTGAAAGCACTGAGTTGAAGTCCTTTGTTTTCAACTCCAATATTTAGGCCTTGGCTGAGTTCGCACATGGAAGTGCACAGAAGTGTGGGACCAAGGTTCTCTTCCACTTCAGCCTATGGCACCTTGGACTCAATAGACAGCTATGCAGACGAGCCCTGGTTCTCCAACGCAAAAAATACAGCGCGACCATATGGGACTAAGCAGTGAATGAGTTGCTCTTTATTGCTGTACTTCTATCTTGGAAGCGATATGAAGCGATTTGAAAAAGATGCTATTCTGCGTTGCCTTACGAGGTAAAGAGGTGCTTGTGTTGGTTTTTGCTGGAGACTTGTGCAATGCTTTCAACTGATCCGAATTGCAATCTTTCCAAAGTTGACGTTGACTCTGTGAGTTTTTCAACATGTTTCAACGTGTCCAAGAACCAAGGTAACATGGGTCAGGCGCATTTGTATGGACGGGAAAGGTATGGAAAGGTATGGAAAGGTATGGAAAGGTATTTTAACTCGCTGTAGACTTCATTGTGTTGGGAGTAGCGACCAAGATAATGCTGACAAACAAGATTATACAATATTATACAATATTATACACAACTTTCATCATCTTTCATTAACTTTCTCCTTCAGAACCAAGAGTGTTCTCATGTGCAGCCGGGAAGACCATATCACCCTGCCAGAAGACTCAGTCAAAATTGAGTGCACACATACAGGAAAAGACCAACCACGCCATTCGCAAAGTCAAAGTGCAAAGGTTCCAACAGAGTCACATGAAAGGTGTTCAGCGCACGCATCGCTTTGGAGCTGCAATCTCACCGCAGGTGAATTATTCAGCTTCCAATACCTGTTTGGATGGTTTGACAAGGCACAGCTTGAAGCTCTCAGCACGTTGGGACGTTGAGAGATGAAAACGAGTTGCTTCTGAGAGTTTTCGGTCAAACGTTGCCAATGACTTCACAAATGTTGCGGTAAGAAGGGCAGGCACACACCGCAACATTTGACATGTTCCTGCCACATCTTGCCACACATGTTATGGAAATTTATGGAACATGTCAAGTAACATCATGTTCCCAGTAAAGCCCCAATAACATTAAATGCCCCACATTATGTTACTGGAACATGTTATCTTTCCTTAACAATAATGCCCCAGTAAAGCCCATTTCATCCACAGTGTCCAAATCCAGGCACCGCGTTGCATTGGGCAAGCCTTGTACTGCCATCCACTGGGGTGCCTGGGGTGAGGCAGGTCGCATTTTTCGCTGTTCGATGCACTGCTGAGTGTAGCAGTAGCATACTGCACTGCCATACGGCCAGTCGCATGGAGGTCGGTATGGCCGCAACCATGGACGACGTCATGCGGAACCGAGTCATGATGGGGTGCTGCTGTCATGATTCTCCAGGTTGCTTGAAAGCCCAACAGTCATCATAGTGTCATAGCCCAGTTATCTCAGAAATTGTTGTGAATATCGAAAAACAGCCCTATAATTTCCACATACTTTGGCTTGAAACACAACCTCAAGTTTTCCCATATTTTGACTTGTCAAATGTGTCAACTCCAAAATTTTTCCGTATTTTGTTGATCAACTGGGTCCCTATCAACTGCCCCAGCTATTCCTAGGACGTCCCAGTGAGTCGTCAGGCCCATGCCCTACTTCACGGTGGCACAAGGACTTCAGGGCTTGGAAGGTGAGCCTTTGTGAGCCATGGGCAATTTTTTTGTGTGTGATGAGAACTTAATACATGTATAATTTTATACATATGATACATGTACTGTTCAAGTATGTTTGCTTATCATTATGTATATATATAATATACATTATATCTACATCATATGAACCTGTGTATATGATACATGTTGATGAATATGTTGATGCTATATGTGTTGATGTTTGATTGAACTACAGCAACGGCATATTTCAACTGATATCAATATGTTTCGAGAATCAGCTCTGTCAATATGTGTCATGCTTGGCAGTTTGATCAACTTTGATTTTCTGATGTTCATTGAAATCTGTACTCAACTTTCAGTTGCGGCGCAAAAATCGCATGGTTTGTCTCCAGCCTCGTTTGTCACTAGAAATTTGATGAAATTTGCATTTTGTTTTTGAAAAGACGCCGAGTTTACGTCTTTCCACATTCCCCTTAGTTGATAACCATTGCGCAACACACTTTGATACAGTTTTGACTCAGGTTTGAGGGCTTTGTGAAAAAGATACTTGGTAAAATTGAGTCAAAAGTCCAGATACAGACTATATATATATACAATTATAATTATATACATATATATATATATATACAATCTGTGCAAAATAAGTCGTCATCCCATTCATCCCATGGTCCCATGGTGGAAAAATCACCCACCAGTTCAGACCTGGCGTAAATAAAAGGTGGGCTCCGAACTGGAATGCCTGAGTTCTCTGTGGGGTGGCTCAGTTCTGGCCGCCATGTATTTTGGGAGCCAGGTCCAGGTTGGGAACATCTGGGAACTATCAATTTTCGCTAAGGAATGACGTAAGTTTCGCTAAGGGATTGTCCATTGTCCATAATTGTCCATTGCCCATTGAATTCAATTTAGATTTAGGGAGCAAACTGAGCAAACTGAGCAAACGATTTTTTTCGTCGTTTGAAAGTTTTGGCCACTGGTGATTCAAAGCCTATATGATGGGAAACTGCAGGATAGAAATATCGCTCATTTGGGGATGTAATAGGATATACAACCGACAATAGTAACCATCAACCATCAACACATACTGGGATATAACTATAACCTGCACTCTAGGATCTGTGTGTCTAAACACAGGCTCTATGATATGGGTTTGTCCAAACATTTAGTAAAATAAACTATGATCAATGGTGGGAAATTCATGATTCCTAACTAGTTGCTAGCTACGTCTTTGGCGGACGAAAGGTTCATCGCAACAATAACTGTCCATTTTGCTGTGTTGTTTGTTTTGTCTATCATTGGATTCTTGGCTGTAATGCACGTTTCCTTCTGTACAAACCGTGCATTGCAGAATTTCTCGGCAAAAACACACCAGTGCTGCGCCGCCTCCGCTAGGTCTTCATCGTCAACACTCCTGTGATGTTTGGCATGATACAGGGAGATCAAACACCAATGGCGCCAGAATCCCAGAGGCTGCCGGCACACAGCAGCGCAGAAAGATGGCCATAGATGAATAGATGATACATGGAAAATCCCCATTCATATAGATGATTCACCATGAAAATTCACCTTGAACTGGGGATTTTCATGGATTTCCATTTGTTTCAAGTTAGACTCCAGACCAGTTGCCACCCCTCCAACCTAGATCCTGCGCTGGGGAATGACGCAGAGCCAAGGCGTTACATGCGCAACTCCTCGTGTGAGTGGCTTCCAACGCCCATGCCTTCGGGCTTCGAGAGAGTCTGGGCCTCATGGGGGGCATGCTGATACTTCAGAATGTTCATCCCCCCTAAGTTATCCAAATATGGTACTGTAATGCACTGTATATGCTAGATTTTGATCTCCATACATCTCCACAAATTTTGGGGATACAAACATGTTATTCTTTTGAGATGCGATGATTTAGCATATTGTTTGGGGTGCATTATGTATTGCAAATAATATCAAATCATTATATGCCATCATAAACTGGACACGTTAATCTTTGTTTGTTAGGATGGATATAACCAACAATGCTACATTCCAGAATTCGATGAAGGAACAACAAGTGCAGATACCCCCCTATACTTGGGCGCAAAAACTGCTGTTTCATGTAAACTTGCCCTTTGATCAATCCATTGAGATTCGAGATATTGGTTGGTCGGAATTTGTGATGGCCATTGGATGCCAGTGGCCATTTTTTTCAGATTTTACAGTGCCTAACAGACCATTTTTGCGTGAGAATTCTAAGATCTACGAAGAATGGGGTTAGAATCATGTATCATGAATGTGGAAATATCAGAAATATCATAGGGTGAACTGAGAACTTGTGCACTTTGGCGAAGCGAAGGTGCACTCGTTTGGAGAATTATTAGCAAATGGACGAATTTTGTGTAGAATCCCTTGTGGCACAAAGATCAACATTCATCAACATCCACCAAAGCCTAAAGCATTGCCCGCAGCTGTTGACATATTGATATTGTGCCAGGAAAACGCTTATGACATCTACCGGATGTACCGCTACATTTTTTCTCCTTACATAGAGGAGGCTGGAGCAGCTGTCTTGAAGCATCATCGAACACCTCAAAGAATGAGACATGGCTTTGCGCCAGCGTCAGGAGAGAAATGAGAGCATTCTCTGGAAGAAGTTCGTGGATCCAGTCCCTCTCTCAATGTACTGTTGCAATCTTCTGTATGATTTGTGCATTTTTCCGAAAAACATATCATTTCTTTTTGCGAGCCTAGGAGAAGTGAGCTTGTGAAGTGATAAAATTGGTGTCCAGCCATGAGACCTAAGGATCCTCCGCGAAAGATTGAGGATGAAGATCCGGATGAGCAGGTGATCGAGGTTGATTTCCTGCCGTGCTAGCAGCTAGTTGCTCACCAGCACAAAAAGCTTCAACAGGGATCTTCCAAGCAATTTTTGTTCACATTGCTAAGTGAAAATGTGTGAAAATCATTCTTGGCTCAGAAAGCATCCCCAATGGGGCTTTGACATGGTTTCATCATTCGGTTTATTGTGGTTTTTACCTGTTTCACATCCTGTTTTTCAAAAACCTTGGTAGATCCCTTCAAAACCAGTACTTCCATGAGGAAGTTGGGCGAAAATGGCACGTCTAGGCCGCAGGTCGAGCTGGGCCAAAGAGTTGTGCCCGGCCGACGATCTTCCGCGTCGCTGAACATGGGATGCGACTGGGAGACTGGTTGGTTCCTTAAAATACATACAGTAACCAGAAACCCCATACTCTTGGTGGGGACGGGGAAATAGTTGATGTAATATATCATAGTATATACGCACATATTACCCCAAAATGGTAAACTTGGGTCTTGATTCATAAAGTGCTTGGGATTGTTTCCCCAAGAAAATGGGAACCATTTCAAACTGGATGAACGTTGTACAAGTTGCAAGTGGTTCTTGGAGGTTTACCTTCGAATGTGGAAACAATCCGTTGACTTGTACATTCGTTAAGCTTTGTCAAGTTCGCTTCAGCCTTGTAGAAACTGCTCCAAGCCTTTCACTCTAGCTCTCAGGCTTAGAGGCCTAGACTCAGTCCTGTTTGGGCTAGAGCGACTAGAGCCAGAGACAGACGCAGACAATAGGAGAATCAATGGAAGTCACAGTCAAATTGAAGTCCCCCAGGATTGCCCAACTATCACAAATCCAGAAAGTAAGCCCGTAACTTGATAGCAAGGTTGCAAAATAGCGTGTACGTCACGTCAGTATACGTCAGTCTGGCTAGTGAACTAGCGGCGAGTGAACTAGCGGCTAGTGAACTAGCGGCTAGTGAACTAGCGGCTAGTGATGCAAGATAGTGCCTTAACTTCCAATTCCAGAGCTGGTATGCCATTTAGAGGATTTCTAGAGGAGTACCCCCAAATCATCCCATTTTACTGGGAAGTTATAAACCATCCATTTGGGGGTACCCCCCATTCTGGACACCTCCATTTCACCCCCGAGTGACGTGGGTTTCCATGTCGCTGGGATGATCCCCTGGGATGCGTTTCCTACTCTGGCTGGCGGCGGCTGCAGCTGAGGATGCTGGGAAATCTACAGGGTCATAGTGGTAACCCCCTAACAATGAAATTATTCAGGGATAGAAAATGATAAGTGCGCTAAAAACTGGGTGTTCAGTGATGGACTATCTATTTTATCCAAATTTGGGGCAGATCGAGGGTCTCTTTAGCATGTGCATAATGAAGGTCATGTGAGCCATGAACAAAACACCATGTGTTTGATTGGCTATGGTGGGTTATTATAAGGGTGTTAGTGTGTTACACTACTTACCTGCCTTTACTTTATTGGGGATTATAGCAACATATGATATCATATGATACCTGATAACTAGAACCTTTCGAGATGGTATCCCTGCCAACAGGAATTGCACATCCTCAGCCACATCCCAGAAGTCGTCCAGGTTTTCTGGTTGCCAGGCTGGACTCCTGAGAATACAGGTACTGGTGGGATTCTGGGGTCTTCCCAGCTTGTTTATCCAAGTGCAGGATGAATAGAACTGCAACATACTGCAACTGTGTTGCCAAGTGCCAAGACCTGTTGCAAAACCACTTTCTAGACTCGAAAAGGGATGCGACCACCAGAACAAAACATGTCACGGCGGTGTCCATCGATTTGGAGCCGGCTTGGCAAAAATGCCCCCTGGAATTTGAATTCATATCCTGTCGCTTGGCTGGTCGGGGATGATACCCCAACATAGATGATGTTTGGAAATGATCCTTCCAGATGTTTCAGCTGTTTAGACATGGGTAAGCCACTGGCGTGCAGGCCAGCGGCTTAAGCCATGTCCTCTTTCTTACAAGAACTTCACCTGAATCTCTTCAGAGACGGTGATGTCCCTCTCCCATGATTTGGATGCCCTTTATTCTTTCAACCTCGAGTGGCTCATCGGATTGGGGATGGTCCCCCAAAAGGGGATGGTGGTTTCTTCCGCAGGCGGAGCCCTGAGCCCGAGCCGTCTCAGCAGCGAGCTCGACGCAGCAGATTCCGATGGTCCAAGTAGTTTTGTGATCAACACCTATGCCGGTGCGCCCGGTGGGATCGTTGTCCGCCTCAGATATGATCATGGTAACCATGAGAAAGCTACATATGGTAAGCATATGGTACCAGTGATAAAGCAGCTAGCGCAAACATCTTCTTTTAAAGGTATTCTTTCTTGAATACCGCAATGGAATACATAGTGATATTATATAGGTAAATGGCGTATGGCTTTGTTATTGAAGGTACATCAGATTTCCAGGGGTACTGAACTGGTGAAGTCTTTTGAGCTGTGAAACATGAGTAAAGATGCAACACTATGCAACGCTGCTCTTTCGGCAGGTGAGTTTCATGCCAAATGAAAGGAGTTTGCAATCAGGCAATCAGTCTTTACTTCTGAAGGCAACAATTTAGAGCCCCTTCTGAATTGCTATTACAGTCTGTGATGCTAGTTACCCCCAATGATCATTTGGCCCACTTTGCATCCCTTGGTAAGTTGTGGTTGGCAGGTCACGGTTTTCGCTTCCAAGCTGGAAGTCTCAGAGCCTTGGGCCGACATGGCTGACATGGGGATTGGGTTGGGGTCGCTGGCATCAGCTAAGTCTTGAGAAAATCCACCTAAAACTATCTAAAACTCGTGTATGGTTGGTGCAGCAAATTGGACTTATGCTTGGCACTTTGAGTTTTGTCTTCTGCCCAGACAAGCCACTGTTGTTGCTTGTTTGGAAGTTATTACAGCCTTGTCGCACAAAGGGTGCATTGAGATGCAATGCGGATAAGTTGGTTGGCTCTGGCAAGGTTCAGAAGCAGTCACCCACAGTGGAGGTCAGCATGATCTGGCAACTGGGATAATCATTGGATGATCAACTGGCACAGAAAGAACGATATGACTAACTCCTGATTCAGTGTTAATCCTGATGAAATTCGAGAACTGTCCGCATCAGAAGTATCAGTTTCCAGTGGCACCAACACTTCCCAGTCAGCCAGTCAGCTCAGCTGCCAACGTGCCAAGGTGATCTTATCCAAATCTGGAGACAGTTTGGTTGCCGATCTGCTAAGTGCAGTGGATCTTCAAAAGTTCGCCACCTGGCGCAAGGGAGGCATGGCCGATGACCATCCCTGGTTCGAAATATCGGTCCAAGCGTCCAACCGTGAAGATGATGATCCCGGTACAATAACATTATAACTTAACGTACTTAACATGTTTCTAGGAGATTGAAACCACCCACCAGATCTGATTTGAGCAATGCCACATAATGCCACTATCCATTCAGGTTCAAGAGATGCATTCACATTGCAACGAAAGGCGGGGTGCAAAGTTCTACATTTCTTTGTGATGGCAAGTGATGCAAGGTGCAAATCTGTAGATATTTGTAGATGGTTTTGACATGTTTGAATATGGCCCTTTTTGTATCGTCACTACGGTGACGACATGATCTAATATTAATTAATATTATATAATTATATATATAAATAAATATGGAGGGCGGGATCACCAGATCCGATGCGGTGATGCGCCACAGTGTTCCAATACACGGTGTTTTTTTCCGGATGTTTCAAAGATTTTGAAATGTTAAAACGGTGCATCAGATCCGTATTCTGTGTCAAGCCGTGGTTCTTTAAATGGGCGGCTCTGCCAGGAACCCCATGGAGGTCGAGCTTTTCTAAGCCAACTTTACAAACCATTGCTGTCGAGTTTCTGCGCTACATATCCTGTTTGGCAGAACATCCAAACGATGTGTTTTCAACTATAGTCTATATATATATTTATGCATACAGCCGGTCGCTGTAATTAATTAATCATAAGTATCCGGTTTGGTACCATTTGTCTACCATTTCACTAGTTGAGAGAAATATGAGAAATGCCTCCTGCAGATTCTGCAGACGGTTTGAAAATGCAATGATGCAGATGGACACCGGTGCACCATGAGGATATGAGGACAAATTGCCAAATTGCAGGTAACTGATCCATTGAGGGACATCGATTGGCTGAACAGGATTATACACATAATTACACAATATTAATGATTATCATATACAGGGGATTTTGTACAATCCAGTAAATATCTTTAGTGTATATCTGTATTTTCCATTTAATCATACAATCCATTTGCTTATTTGAAGGCCAAGCAGAACCACATGCATTGACTATTCAAGGTAGGACCATTGTCAGTGGCTCATTTCTGCGCTGAGAGCCGCGTCTGGAAAGGGATGGCTACACCAGCTGTTGCTACAACTTTCTTAAGACCAAACGAGGAATTCCTGTGGCTTTTGCAGGCCGGGCATTTGTGGTCAGTGGTGTCATTCATCATAAACAAAAGCCTGTACCTCTGCAGCATAGAAGGCATTGCATGCTGAAAGTGCTTCAGAGGGTTTACATATGGAAAGGGGACTAGAAATTAGCCCTCAACTGGCAGATTACAGCAACTTCGATGACGTTGCCACCGCATTTGCCCGGCCCGCAGACAAGTACATCACTGCCTACTCACCGCACAAACTAATGCCCAGAGATCTTTGGATGCAGCAAGCATGAGAACAAGCTTACAAATCAAATGACTGTGGCCAGGACCAGCAACGATAGATTAACCACGGACAAGACATGTCACCTGTCGTGAACATATACAGTATATGCTTTGTGTGGCGCTGGCTAGTAGGATGGCTCTCAGTGAGTGTTGCTGTCACTCAAAGATCTCAAGGGGTGATATACCAATATCCGTATCCTTTGTGCACCGAATAAAGGACAACTCCAATTCTGCCGGAGGGATTTGGTGAGGACGTTAAAGTGGATTTGATACATGTTGATGACAAAAAAAGTTCTGGAAGCATATTGTATAAATAGCAGCGGGTCAGGATTGCTTCATTTGACTGTGAAATACTCGACAATGCCTGAGCCAAAAGCGCACCAAGTCCCCTACTGTACATGCAGATTTCCAATCATGGCGCAGCCCTCCATTGATCCCGACTATGAATTTGTGAATCAAAATCACAACCATCAGATCTCGTGTTCTTTCGGTTTGAACCTTTAAGGTACTCAAGATAATAATCTCTGCACCCTTTTGCACAGAAAGGGCTATAGATTCTATAGATAGCTACATCTGCCTGAGAAAGGATCGGTGCGAGTTCTAACCCCAGCCTGCGAGCCCACGATGTGAGGTCGCCGCACGTGGAAACCTGGAGGATGATATCGAGTCAGATGGCCTCGACGATGATGGCTATGGAGGACATTTGCCACCAGATGAGATGCGTGGCATGATTGGGTCTCCTAAAGCGTGGCCTCAGCTTGACCATTTAAACTGTGAAGTGTCCAGTATCCATGGAATCTGTGGATAAGGATGCTTGTCATCAACAAAATGCTGGTCCCTGTGGATCTTCGCTGGGTTTCTTGGAATGCCTGGAATGCACGAAGGTTTCAGAGTTTAATCTTACAAGTTACAAGTCTATAATGATTGTTAAATGTACAGCCAAACACCAGACATTAGTATTTGTGCATATCTCAAGCCTTTGATTGATGCATGTAGTTGGAGTGCTTCAAAAGCATGCCAAATCAAGCTCTAAAGGAATGTCTCTCTTATGGCATTAGTGAGGTGCATGTGGCTCATGACAGTGATGTGCCCCCACAAGACAACGAGACCACCATGATCACACAAGTGACACTTGGCCCTATGGAATGAACGTTGCAAAATGCACAACCACAGAGACGCTCTCTCGCTTTTCTTCGTTGCTGAAATCTAGTCCCTGACACTGCAACGTTTAGGTAGTGACTGCAATTGCCATACAGCAAGTGACGAGCAGTGATTTGGCGTCTTTGATTTGTTTCAGTCGTCCTCGCAATACTGGTACAATCCAACTCTGCTCGAAGCTTGCGGCAGACTTCGGAAGCCCTGATCCATCAGAATCCGTGATGATCGTCATCCATCATCCAACCAAGTGATATCCCATGAGATCCACATATATCCGCTATCAACCATTGTTCCAATGGTTGATGATAGGCTGGGTTTATTTGGGTTGCTGTTGATGACCGCCAATCTCTAGCGACCGAGGACATCCGAGTCCTATGTCCGAATCACTGCGAGGCTTCGCTTCAGGGAATTTGCTCCAAAGCGGCTCAAGATGCAGGATGCAAATAACACGATGTCGGATAGGTGTTTTTTTCTTGTTTGGGGTTGCTTTCCGAAGGAGTGAGCCAGGCAATTCAAAGATCTCTCTTGAAGATCTCTTTGTTGTGGACATGCAGATCCAACATTATTTAATAGTTTCTTTCCTCATGCAGAGAACAGCATCAGCACATGCAAGGCCCGGGCAGTCCTTTGTCGTCAGCAAGCAATCTCCGAGAGAGCAGTCTCGGTGCCAACGGGAATCAATCATTGGATCATTGGAGTAAGAATAGTGAATGAAACAAATATTATATCACTATTAAATATTAGCATATATATCATAGTGTATTATAGTTCATATAGTGTATTTATATCATAGCAATATCATCCAATATATACAAATATTATATGATTGGATGATGGACGATGATTGATGAAGTATTGCTAGATATTGCTAGATATTCAACTATTGGACATGATTGGATCACATTGGATGGCGCTGTGGAATCATTTGGAGCCAGTGCGACCTGAGAGATGCGACAACGTTTTGACATGTTTTGACACCGGCCAGGTCCAGTTCGGTGTTCAGATACCCTGGAGAGCTTGCCGTTGCAACTCGGCTGGAAAGCTTGCAGCGAAACGTAGTGGATCCAATCCAAGTTCAGAGCCTGTGAACAGCTTGGAAATTGAGATACCGAATCATACCCAGTCGTATCTCCTACAGATCGTTTCTGGGTTTCTGCGGCCCAGACGTACTTGAAATTCAGAGACATGAGATTTGATGAGAGAATCTGCTTGGAGAGACTCGGAGAGATGGAAGTGTTTGTTCCTGGTTTGTTCCTGGTCCGACCTATTTGGGTATGGGTCAATACCTATAGATACATTTTTAGTGGGATGAACATCCATTTACCAGCTATTTTGATGTTCACCAGGGGTACCAGGGTTTTGACCCATCCCCATTTGACTGTTGATTTCAATCTGTTGATTTCTGTTGATTTCCTCAGATACTAAGGCAATCATCTCGGCCGAGGCCAAAGGTTTGGCGGTCGCAAGCCGGGATCAGGACTGGCGATGTCGAGGCCATTTCTTCATCAAAGGTCGGAATTCATAGGAATTCCTATGGAATTGTGGCATTACAATGGGGATATATGGGGATATATGGGGATAAAATGGGATAAAGATCAATAAAGTGGGTAATTTTGGCAAGTTGTGAATTGAATGTGGCCTCTGACAACATTACAGGATGAGTTGAAGATTGCACTGAGCGAGATTGCTCAAAATTGCGGAGATTCTTCCAAAGATGAGCAGGTGCAAACAGCGGTGGAGTGATGGAAGGTTGTAAGCCTTGCAGCAGCCTTTGAGAAGGCAATAGATCCTTGCTAAATCCTCAGATCCCCCCTGGAAGAAATGGCAGTTTTTTTGCTGCCGAGTCCTTCACCGAGTGCTTCAAGCAAAAAGCAGTGTCGTTCCCTCCAGCAGCTTGGCCTGACTTGCCGTGCCATTGATAGAAACCCATTGGTTGCTCCAACAATGGCTGTGCCTATCTGTGCCTGGTGATGTGAGCAATGGCTACGTTCAGCCCCTGTTGGTCGATATTTAATGGGGGATTATGTTATACTGCTGGATATATTCGGATATATTCAGGGTTGCTCCAACTAATCATTGGTAAATTATAGCCACAAGGGGGAGTCGTTTTATCACTTCATTTAGCCAATTTACCACCCTTGTACCTGGGGTCTTAGGAGCAACCCTATCGGAAATGATCATGATCCAGCTGGGAATCCCTATGAACCAACCATGGATCCCAGCTTGCAGGCATTGGCTCTGTGGTGGTTCCAGCTTCTTTGGACCTCTGTGAGCCACTGGCTCCACTGTGTGGGATACTTAGTGACCATCTTGAACCATATATTGAACTGTTCATCGGTCGTCGGGTGACATGGACACTGAATTTGGACCTGTGGCACCCAGGTCCATCTTCCTGACTCAGTCTCCATCAGACAAGTGGATTTAGAGTTGGATGATGGGACTGGCAAGAATCGATCGGTGAAGGCTCCAGACATGCAGTGCGCTGTGTGATTGTCTTGGCACGGGCTTTTTGTTTGCTTCAATATACTGTGGATATCTGTGGATGGGATGGAGACATAAATGGAGAAAGTCTCCAAGATTACGCACACATGAACATGCTGTAAGGAATAGCTTGGGTCGAATCCTGTTGCCACATGCAATATACAAGTTTGACATTAGGAACAAGCAAGCTTGCCGCAGATGGATGAGCTACTTGGAGTTCTGTTCCAGCTGCTTCCTTGATAGTTATTTGAAACAAGTACTCAGACTCCATTAGGTAAGGGCGGAGGCAACATTCTTTCTCGCATACAATAAAATAAAGATCGAATTACAGTAGATCATTTCTATGAAACAATGTAAGATAATGATGTGTATGTCACATCATATAATGTGGTAAGCCCAGTAACAGATCATGCCCAAGTACATACAATTGCCATAAATGGGTGGAACAAAACCATAATGGAGCGTTCCTAACTTTAATGTTAAACTATTACACCCAATTATCATGACATGGTCATTGTAATTGTTACCAACTACCATAAATTATGGTATTGGAATAAAATTATACCAATGACCATAACATTAAAAAATCCGAGCCGCAGGCCCAGATTTTTCGCGAGGATCCTCTGGTCTTGGGGATCTCAGGTGCGGAAGTTGCAAGTTGGGCTGAGCCCGACTGGGATGTTTATTGAACCAGAAGGGGGATATATGGGGATATCATATTCATGGATGTGTACATATTATGAATATGTAAATATGATATAATTATGTAAATGAGTCCTGCAGCGAAGAATCAAAGAGGAAGCGCAGCCTCCGCTCTGGAGTCAAGTAGATCACTAGTTTTCCTGCAAGCGATACCCCCAAGTTTTCCATATATTGTTTTTGTGCAAACTTGTGGCATTCCGTGAACCTAGGGTTTTCGAGATTGCTCATATATATATATATATATTATATATATATATTATATATATATATACGTATATATATAATATACATACATATCATATATACATATACATCATATTCTATACAATACTACTGTCACTGTGTATATATATATACATGTATATACTGTAATATTATAAATATAACTTTAATAATATACATAGCATTGCGTAATGTACATATATAATTTGATGATACTGATATGATATATGTACAAATACAATTATATATATATATATAGAATATGTACAATGATCATATATATAGTTTATATACATCTGGCAAAATAGCTGGATATATCGCCAAAATGACTAGTGACTAGTGACTATGGGATTTGTCTGAAAATTGGGCAAAACCCTCCAACACATGTTAATGTTGATATGGACCCTGATAGCCAACCATCACATTTTGGGTCGCCTATTTTCAGCAAAACCCACAGGAAAATCATATCATCGACCTCTCTGGACGGTTCAGGCCTTGCGACGCCACAAGAGTGTCAGCAGTTGATCGACTCGCAGGACACGGCAATGAATGCAACGGCAATTAGCGGTGTACCCCAGTTTCAGTAATGCCAATTAACCATTAATGGATTTAATGGCTATCATGCGTCACCCATTTTGTACCCAATATGCACAGTGAAGTTTGCCGCTCCCTGAGTGACCGTCTTTGTTGTGCTATAGTTCTTGAGGATGCATCAAACATATTCCGCAGAAGATTTCCGGAGAGATAATTATATGAGATCACAAACTTATAGGTGAGGCTAAAGCATCCATTCGTATTATGTCAGAATGACAATGGATGTCCCTGTGAAAGTGCTGAGTTTCCTTTTCAGCAATGAGTTCAAGGCTGAGGAACTTGCAGCGTCTAGGACTTGAAAGAGGCGAATCTCAACATGGCCTTCATCAGTGGTGGATCACATTCCAAGTCGCGTCGAACCCTCACCAAGAATTTGTATCCAAACATGCAGGAGCGGGAAGCCATGCAGGGATTGCTATGCAGCTGCCAGTCAAGTTAAGTCGCATTTGCATACATTTGCTGAATTGTTTCAAACTAAGTTGCATCTCATCCTTTGTACATTTCACCGTCCCATCATATACCATCCATTTATACCATCCGAAAGCCAGTCCTCCTTCCATTTCCTTGGCCCAGCTGGAGCAAGGCGCCACAGAGCATCCTTGCTAAGCTGCAGAAGCGCTTCTTCCAGGTGCCCCGACGGCACATGGCAGGCTTCCTAGTCCTACAATCGAAACTGGCAGAAAACCACATGTGATGATAATTATCCACATCCCCACAGTTTCCCCACGTATTTTCGATTGCCATGGTTGACTACTGGAAACATCACCCTGTGGTTACAGCAATCAGGTTTGAAATGGTTTGAACCACCACAAAGGTATGCTGAACCTCCCAAATGGGGAAATATGGGCTGACGTTTGGCGCTGTTTAATGAGCTGGTTGCTGGACAAATCCGGCGGGAGCGAGTGAGAACTATAGTGTCATCATCATTCTCATTGAGTGCTGTTTGTTCTTGGTTCCAAGCTGTAAGATCTGTAAGGGATTCACTTATTTTGTTTAACATCTATCCCTTCTTCCGCCTTGGGTTAGGCCGCACGTGGGGCATCAGGCTACGAACTTTGGTGCCTTGGCTGCGAGGTCTGGTTCCGTGGGCTTTGGCTATGGCATGCTATGGCTCACCTGGCAGGCCCGAGGGACAAGAACCAGTCAATTGGCTTCACTACAAGCCTGGCTATGACACATGGCAGATCTTGGCCACAGCTTTGCGGTTGCGGTTCTTCTCGTTCTGGTATGTTCTGGTGGTTTGCCTACTCCTTGGTTTGATTCAGATCCTCTAGGATTCTATGCCAATGCTTCATTCGTTTGGAAGGTTTCACTAAGATGCGGGCTCTGTCTTATAGCACCCGCAAGATGTCCTGAGACGTCACATGCAAGTTGCTGGTTGTTAGAACATGCTAGAACTGTTTGTTTGTGTAAGGAATATCGACCTCACTGCGACGGCGGTTGTGGCATGGATCCTGTTCCGTCGGGCATGCGAGTGGCATCTTCTTTGTGGCTTGGATGGAGGCACCATAGAGTGCCATAGAGTGAATGTGGCAACCAGCTCAGTGAAATCTGAATTTCAGAGTTTGGGTTGAAGTTTGTCTCTATTCCTTGTCACGCACTCCAAGATTCAGCAATTTACGGAGCAATGAATGCAATAATGTCGGAAAAAAGATCATTAATAGATCATTATTCCTTAGGGCAATTCAAGACAGCCAGCAACCATTGGATCCAATGCATCGGAAGCAAATCATCAAAAAATGCATTGGTTTCTCCATTGCCAGGGATGATTGATGGATAATTATTGGTGGATTGTCTACCCTCTGGTAATTTAACATAGCTATGGAAAATCACCATTTTTCATGGGAAAATTCACTATAAATGGTCATTTTCAATAGCTATGTTAAATTACCAGAGGGTAAGTCCGGAAGATCAAGGCACCTAAAAAAGGGACGTGAGAATCTCTGCTTACTTTTCAGGCTCTACTGCAACGTGGCGGAGCAAGGCAAGGGATGGGAGGCAATGACATCTAAGGAATGCTTCCCCATGCCCCCATATGGCAACCGCGACACTTGTACATGCGTGTATAATTCTTATTGTATGACTATTTACTAAGTACTTACTAATTATTTAAATTTACTAAATACTTACTAAGCTGCTTGCTTTTGGCATTTTTTGGCTGCCCAGTCTCTCACAATCACGCTGCCAATTGATGATGTGTTCCCTGGCAGGTGGCAGCACAATCTTCACGCAAGACACAACAAAGTTCACCCCAGCGCGGGGTGACTTTCTGCTGCTTGATAGCACAGCGGCTATGATCCTTTCCAGTTTGAGCGTATGCAAGGCATAAAGGAGTGTTCTTGGAATTTCCGTCGTAACCTCTGCAACTGCTGCAGCTACTGTTTACTGATATTTACTATTGATCGATGATTTGTTGACAGCTTGCTCGATTTGCTCCATTGTGTTGTTGTGATCGCTATCAACAGTTTCAGGTTCTTTGCTTATAAGTCAGATCCTGACTACATGTCAATGCACGCTGCCTGTCCAGTGCGCCTTTGGCTGCAGAGTGAGTTGCCATGAGTTTGCACCAGCACATACTAGCACCAACTTAGGCCCTACATGGCCCTATCGTTTTTGAATGGGTTTGAAGATTTGTAGAGCTTGAAGGAACCCTTCGAAGAGTTAAGTTAAGATCTCCCAGACATTCCTTTCACATCATTCCATTTGAGGTTGCGAGGCATCAAAAGCACGGCCACACAGTGGTATCGCGAGGCGATCAGCGGCTCCAGCAGCCCGAAGTTGCTGAATGTTGCTGATTTTTTGTTCATCAGTTTGTGCCAAATATGATCAAATGATATCAAATGTACATCTAGTACAAATCTTTGTCGTTGATTGTAGTTGTTAGTTTGCATTTTCTTGCAGCTGGTAGGTTTCATATCATTGAATAAATCATTATTATTGTATATTATAAATTATAAATAATACAGTATCTTATATACCCTCAGGCAGGAAGTGCCGCCCAGAGGTTTATCATGTCACCAACTCTTTAGAGTTTGGGGTTTGTTTAGGGTTTGTCTAGGGTTTCATTGAGGGTTTTTAGTGTTTCTTTTTTTAACCACGGCTTGAATAAGACTTTACTTTCAAGGCTTACTTGGGTCTTCATGTCAGATTTAGGTTTTAGGGTTTAGAGTTTTTGTGTTTTGGAAACAAGTCTCGTCAGCCATTCGACCATTCTGCCGACATCCCAGAATGCACAAATCACTGGCCCTGCGCAGTGAAAGCGCACTTCCCCGGGCAGCACATCCGTCCTGGCCGTAATTTATATATATATACAGTATATTATATATATATACATATCAAATATATATATATATATATATATAATTCTACATTTAGTCATATGATGTTATATTATAGTTATTCTTATTTATATATACACACTATATATTATATATAGAAAGTTTGATTGCATATTCGCAATATGGTACAATACATCCTGGCAGGGAGTCTCAAAGGACTACACCTGGGAAGACGTGGCGGACCTTGGTCTGCGTGACTTGGCGCGTTGTTTTTTCCAAAAAAATAACAGTTCAAATGGTGAGGAATACCCCAAAATAATTAGTTTAACATATATATATATATTATTATGTATAATATAATGTATATATACATATTAATTCTAATATCATATTATCCAAAATTGCAAACAGAAAAAGTGATAATCAATTATCAACATATGTCAGAACTTGTTGATGCAAGAGGAGGGAGAGGATAGTGCTGGTGCTGCTGGTGGCAATCGATTTCTAATGGATGTTGAATTTGGATTGAAGTGAGATGCATCGACAGTACTAAGTGGATGGGCAGCGATTAGAATAACCGTTAACCTTACGCATCCTTACACAAATTGAAAAACATGTTCAAGATTGTTCAAGTGTCATCACCCAATCCAAATCTGAATTCAGCAGCAAATATTGGCAAGACAGAACAAAACAAGGCAGAGCCAATGAGATGAGATCAGACTATCAGCTGCCCCTTCCACTGACTCAGGACGCTCTTCCGAGTTGCTTGGCCGAATCATTGCAAGGGACGGAACTTCGATGACATTTGTCCCAGCAATTCGTTGAATGCGTTCAGTGCTTGCTTAGTACGGTATTTGAAAACATGATCACTTTAAGGCAATTGATCCTTGATCCTTTCTGCTTTGCTGCCTCTTTGCTTGCACCGGCCTCTGGAAACCAAGGCTGTGATCATGTGCTTTAGCTGATAGTGCTTCCAAGCTTTGGCTGGTTCGCAGATGATGCGGAAACTGTCCCTTGAAACGAACTCAAAGTTAGTTTGGAAGGCATAGTGGTGGGAATCTTCAACACCAAAGGCTTGTGTTGACCCACTTTGCTTGGAAAGTAAAAAAGAGACGCAAGATTTGAATTGGATGATATCCTCGCACCAAGAGAGTCAAACGTGTAGCTGCACTGATCTGCACTGTCAAGCGGCACAAAGTCAATGAAGCTGAACCTCATGGAAATACACATCAACATACATCAACACTTCCTTGTGACAGCAACGTCAGGCACCATACTTTGTAATAGTTTGTAGGCATACTGTAATTGATGTTCTATTGACATTACACAGTCTGAAGCCGCCCTCATCCCATGGCTGTGAAGCCCCTGGCCGGGAGCAGGGCAGTGGTGTATGATGTGCGGCCACATATCATCGATGGCCAGCTGGGCCGCCTTTCGTCAGTTGAGGAGTGTAGGGCCATGGCCACGGAAGGTGTTTGGGAGGATGCTACAGATTGCTACAGTATGCTACAGTTGCAGGATTATTTGATAATTAGTACAATTGAGTATATATTTATACGTATATTAATATACATATATCAGAAGCTATCATATCGGTACCGGTTATCATTTGTACACTTCACAAAAGTCAGATCCAAGTGGCCAGGTCAAAACAGCAGACAGTGACAGGAGTTGCAGGCTTCGTCTGTAAAGAGAGCGATCCTCGCTGCCGGAGCCGCCGCAGCCTTTGCCTTTTCCAATAGGAGGACTGGGTTTTCCACTTGGAAATGTTGCAGGCTGAGGCTGATCACCCTCTGGAGACTTTCTCGAAACAGATATCAACAGATTACAGTACACAAATGATATCAAATGATCACAAATGTACACAAGACTGTCTCTGAAGGTTGACATTGCAGTTGTGCTGCGACAGGAGAAAGTCTCGCCTGCACTTGCACAGTGCCATCTCATGGCAAGACCTGGTAAGGCGCGATGTACATCAGCAAGTGTCGAAGACACACTAGCAGGGTATTTTTCTGCAACCATTGTAACCTTCTATTCATTTTTTTGGCTCATTTAATCCTGGCATCATAGCAACCTGCAGGGCTTCCTAGGCCAATACATGAGGTACCGGACATTCTTTGCCGTTCCTTCGCGCACACGCCTGACACAGGCGCTCAGATGTGCCGGAAAAACCCCGCGAATTCTGTGCCTCCTGGGGCTGTGGTTGTGCTGGAGGCAGGAAACCTTATCCCTACACGAAGGAGGAGGACCTCAATTTGCTTCGCTGCTTTCCCAGAAGTGCATTGGTTAATAGTTCTTCATTCATCTCTAACGTTCTACAGCCGAGTTGTTTGGGGTTCCTTGATATCAATAATGATCTTCATAATTAAATAGAAATTATAGGGGCAGGACTGAGGGTTTGCCGGGAACGGAATGATTAACGTCTTAAGGAGGCACATTTCACTGCGCAGGTGCAGCGTTTTTTACCTTGGTACATCTGCGCATTATGTCCCAAGACGAATTTCTAGAAAAACAGTCGGAAAAGTGAGCCCTCTGCGGACTTCATGCGTTTCGGCCTTTTCCCCTTTGTCACTTTTTTGGCGGCCAGTCTGGCGTGTTCATATGTCATCTCGCCACAGTCTGTGCACTTCTCCACATTGTATGCATCCCTATAAATGAAACCCTAACCTAGTAGAAGTACAGTATGTTTATTTGTTCCATGAGGCCGGTGGATTTTATAACTTTTGGAAAACCCGCTGGCATGATGATGCTTCCAATGGCTTGCTGGCTCCGCACTCGGGGCGGCAAGCCCTTCGGGCCACCCCAGGACTACTTTCGCTCCCATCCCGCAGCCGCAGTTCTTGCGACTTGGTGCCATGGTCTGGAGCTGCGGCCCTCGATGTGGGCGGGGGAGCCGAGGGGCTACCGCACCCGTGGCAAGCTGGCTGTGGGAGGAGGGAGAAGTGGCATCGTCATCGGGCTCTTCAAACGAGGAACTTGGAAGGTGGGAATTATGGGAATCATCTCCTGGGATCATTGGGAGGAAGCTGAATTCTTCTTGGCCATTTCTGGCGAACTTTTTGGAGTAACATGTTTCAACCAACTGCTGATTTTGGTCATTTTCATTGATTTTGGAAATTAGTACTGGGATCCAATGTCTTCCAATTTTGTGGCTGTGCGGCTTGAACCAAAGCGCTGTTGTTAGGTGCTGCCAGTAGCTGGTTGCGTCGTGAATCATCCGCGCCTCATGATGGCGGTCCAAAGGGTTCAGCAGGCATCAGCGCACTGAGTGATGGTCTGGGCTTACTGGTTATATAAGTTATATATTATATACAAATTGGTTGGATATCCTTCAAGTCATGGTAAGATTGGTAGGTATGCATCGATTATAGCATCATGTGCAGTCAGTACTCTTGAAGACTGCTGGATATGTCGTGAAATATCACCAGACATCAGATGTTGAAGCTAGATTAGCGACAGCTGGATTTAACAGCCACACGTGGCATCTTGAAATGTCAACCCTGCATGTTGATAAGGCCAGTTGTGCAATGTCGTACAGTTCTGTTTCATTAATCTTTCATAGAAGATTGTCACCTCTCCTTGGGCAATTCCTTATCAAATATGTTTTTTCTCAGCCAGGGTTACTTGGATTTGAGAATTGAAGGAAACAATTCGCCAATATTCGCCAGAAAACCCCCATGTTCATGGTGAATCCATGGTAATCCATATTTCATAGTTGAATATAGGACATCCATCCCCGTTCCAATTTCCAGCACAGAATGGGCGGCCTTGTGCCCTATATAACAGGTTTTTTTTCTCGGTAAAAATCAGATTCCAACATGGGGGCCCGGGGGCCCTTTGTAGCAACAGGTTGGGTTTAGGGTCCCCGCTGAATTGTCCAACCAATCCTTGGGGCCCTGCAGCTTCTCAAGCGCCTGGACATCCGACCTTTCGATCACGACGCCTCGCTCGAAGATCTCGAGACTGCTGCCGTCAGATATCTGGAGCTGACGCTGGAGCGTGGGAGTGGCACCTGGGTACCACAAAGGGGCCGAAATCGTCACCATTCGTCACCGATAGCCCAAAAGTGCGAAAAAATGGTGGGTTTACAGGGGGGAAGTGATGGCACTTGATGATACTTAGTGAATTTAATAGGATTTTGGATGACAAAATGGTTTCGGAATTTTGAGACAACCTGGCTCCATCTGAATGCAATCTCAGCTGCAGCTGTTTGTTCAAACGAATGACCTTGTTCCATTTTTTTCCTGATGTCCATTTCTATTCCATTTCGGTGAGTCATGTTTGCCAACTTCTGAGATCAACTTTCCAAACATGACATGTCCAATGTTTTTCCATCCTTAAACAATAGCTCCCATTCAACAATACTGGGTCTAGCTATAAATATATCACACGCAGTACACGGCAGAATTAGGTCTGGTGCAGCTGGCGATCGCTCCTTTGCTTCATCAGCGAAAGTGGTTCATGGGCTTTGTCTTAAAATGGACATATCCATAAAACAAATGCCATTTGTCCATGGGAAAATGATGACAAGCATCACACTTTTAAGTTTTCAGGTACTGTTTTCAGACAACCTAATTTAATCTATATTATATATATATTGATTATTTTGTTCTGTCTGCGCAATCACAATCTCAATCATACATATGATATGACACCATATTATATGATATTATATGATCTCATGTCAAACACAGAGTTTCTTGGAACATCGATGCTTCCCGCGTAGGTTTGGAACGGTGGAGAGCAGGCAGGTTTTTTTTCGCCGTGGTGCTGCGAGATGTGAGCTGAGAACGTTTTTATCGTGGTACAGGTGAATCCTCGCGTCGAAGCATTGCTGCAAGAGCTTTGGGCATCAGATGCCTCCGATCGCCACAGCTTTTGGCATTCGATTTGGGTGCCGGCGATGGGCAGTGGCAGAGTTGAACTATGTTCAACTACTCAAAAGTGAGCATGTAGACTGCATGTAGTATATGTAGCTTGAACAAGAACCAACTGATATGATATCGATTATATGCGCTTATCACCTCTCAAACTTACATCTTCTCAGGGGTTTTAACATGTTATAACACGTTATAACGAGGCTGAAACCCAGTTCCTAAGCACGGAACCTCATTTTCTGCCAGGTGCACTGGCGCGATCCAGACCCTGCCCTGCTGCGGGCCATCCATTCCAAACGAGCTGAGGCATGGCAACAGGCTACCGGGACGGCAGGGCGGATGGGTCATGCCATTCTTCATTGCATCCGCAAAAAAAGGGGGATGGTTCATAGGTCGAAGGCTTCAGAATAGAATGAAGTAGACGATCACTGACGATCACACATGTTTCTCATGTTTCGGGACTGATTTTGGACCAATACCAAAATATCTCCAAATACAACATGCAATTGTTCACATACACTCCTTGAATTGATGTATCTAACTATGTGTGATTATGTGTGTGTTTGATAGATTTTGATAGGGGTACCCAGCAAATGGGTGCTCGGAATTATGATGATCAATACAGGATGGGGCCCCCAAGATAGCGTTCAGTTGGTTTATAAGTGGCTTAACAATTGTTTATGGTAGATATAACATGATATAACTATAGTATTCATGGGGATTATTTCATGGTTTATAAACCAACTTATAACTGGGGGCCCTATCCTGTACCGTATGATAAAACCATGGGATTTTGAGGTCCCTAACAGACACTGCGCAATGACCATGGCAGGTCCGACCACTGCGCGGCTCTGGTCATGTGCGCCGATGGTTTGGGTGGGCCGAAAATCTCATGGTTCATCAGCATTTTCCTATGAGAGTTGCGCCTAAAATTGCCATGACTTGGGGGAATACTTTTTTTTTTGCTGAGAAGGCCACTTTGAGCACCAAAGGTTCCAACATGTTCCAACAATTCCATGGTTTCGCTCCCTGAACATCGGCGTTGATGGCACAAAGGGGTTGTCTTCAGTGACTTTGGGAGGTGGTGGAATGCCTGGACGGCTTGCACTTCTCCTTTGGCCCGGCAAGCTTTCAGCAAGTCAATCTCCAAGTCTTTGAGAAGATCCTGCAGGAGAGTCTCCATATGTCTCCATGGATTTCATGGCCATTTCATGGGAATTTCATGGGAATTTCATGGGGATTTATGGATGCCATGTCGTCGCCCCGCACAGCATACATGCCTTGGCGGCAATCGGCTTCAAGCTTAGGAAGCTTAGGAAGCTTCCAGAATTATGACATGACTTTAGGACTGATACACAAATAACATCAAAATAATATCAAACAGTTTGTTGTTTGGATTGTGATCCAACAGCAAGTGGTTTGGGTAGAAAATTATGTTTAAACAGTATGATATATTTTCGTCTTGGCACCAAACATCAAAGAACCCTTCACTTGCTGGATAAATCCATCCTAGCAGAAACTCCAGGTGCTTGACTTTTCAGACCTCCTCTTCGCCTCGGCAGCTGATAAGGGAATTATCCGAATTATCCACAACAGACATCATCAGCCACTCATCACAGCTTATGACAGCTGCCGATCTTCCTTGAATGGCCCCGTGCAGCCGTAGCGCTGACGCGGCTTTGTCCACGTGCTATGGACGATGAGATTCTGGAGGATTGCAGCGGGAACTTTTGGGTAGCACGGGTAGCAACAGGCACCTAGCCGACCTAGGTTGCTCGATTCGGCGAACTGAGCCATTGAACATAGTTTGAGGATGGTTTGATGGTTCGATGATGTTTGATGATTTTTGATGGATTTTGTTTGAAGTTGAAAGGAGATCCACTACCTCACTGGTCGCGGGCTTCAAGGATACAAGCAGCTGCAGCGCAGCTCAGCAGCAAAGTGGGTGTGGCAAATTCAACATTCAACATGGCCCTGTGAAACGTTGTAAAAAAAAAGGCAACTTGGACGTGTTTTGACCAGAAGATTCTTGAAACAATTCATGTTCCGGGTCTAGCCTATATGTGAGAATGTCCCATGTTCCGTTGCGTTCAAGTATTTTGAGAAATCATTTGCAGTGCAATATGTGTACGCATAGAATTGCTTGCAGTGGCCTTCTCCACGATTCGATTTCAGGCGCGGTTGAAGAGGGAAAAGTTTCTGTTGCGTGCTCAGATAAGACCAGAGCTGCGCATAGGGGAACGGTGAGCAAGACAAGAGGAGGAGTCACCTTTGTGTCAGACTGGTAGCAATATGACGTGGCCATTCACAAATGCAAGCACGATTACTGTGCGTCTCCTGTTCCTCATGATTCCCAAGTAAATTGAACATATTGAACGGGCATCGGCCCACTGAGGGAGCTTCATGGCCATATCAAATCTACCTGAGCCATGGCTGAGTTGGGCAAGGTGGTCGCAATATCGTTAGTCCCAGAGGGATCTTAGGAGAGATTTGCAACATTTTGCAACCAAGGAACAACGCGGTGATGACCGGCAACATCACCATCTTGCGATATTTGGTGGATGAGGTTGGCGTGAAGACCTTGAACTCAGATTGCAAGGGCTACAGCCCCTTGCAGATGGCCGTGGTGTGGGGCCAGCATGGACCCCAGGACCTAGTCTATCGATGTTTGTCGGCATTTGTAATGGTGAACACCTTTTACATATTTTTACATATTTCTACATATTTTTACATACGTGTCATCGCACTTGCGACATGCTTGTGGCACAAGGGACAGTGTTGCTTCAGTGACTTTGGCTCAATTTCAACGCCTGTAAACTGTGGAAAACTGACAGATGGAACTTTCAACAGCAATCGATTAGGTACCCAGCGGTACCCGTGCTTCACAGCCGAGGCTGGACATTTTGGTGTATTTGCTGACACGTGGCGCAGAACCTTATCTCTGGACAAGCAAATCTGTGGTTGACCAAACCCGACGCCGGCAAGTGCGCCTCCAGGTTGGAATCGATTTGAAGTCAGCAAACGATTCATATTAACCGACATAATAGATGTTGGGAGAGGAGCGTTGAGACAAAATGGATGTGAATAAGATGGATGTAATGTATGAGAGAGAGCAGACTGCAGATGGTACGGTGTTGTCGGTGTTGTACTTAAGACTGAGAGATTTGAGCACCACGGTGTTTAAGCCGCGGCCAGGCATCCTTATCCAAATCAGAAGAACATCCTGACACCTGCAACTTGGATCCTCAGCAGATCTTAGAGCTCTATGAGAAGGGTATCTTGGCTGCGAAGGATTCCACCATATTCCACCAGGATTTTGGAAAATTGCACTGGACATCAAAAAAAACTGAGCAAAGATCTCGTTGTTGGTATTTGTTTCTTTCCAGCATTGCTTAAAACATCTTAAAACCATGGAGTTTTACCACTTTTGCATATTGGCATAATCTGGCATAAGTGACCTTGCTGAGGGGAAAGACCCTGCTTACATGAGTGAAAGATAGTGAAAGAGGGTCTTGTCATATTTCATAGTTGATCAATGTTGATCATATTGAGCATTTTCTGAGCTATAGCAGCTATCTAAACCTGCACCTCAGAGCCATGAAGCGAGGCAAAGTCATGCTAGAGGTCCTGGAGGGAGTCGAGGACAGGGCAGCAACGGACATACCTTGGTGCGATCAAATATCATCACATGCGAATCAAATGGATCTAAATTGGAGAACAACAAGAATAACATATAAATAGAATATAATAGAGGTGTGAGCAGTGAAACTTATTTTGTTTGTGATCATTGCCCTCTGTCCACAGGCCTATGGTTCTTACAACGCCTGGGCTGTGCGACATCGCGGCTTGTCACACCACATTTGTTGCAGTGTATAAAGAACGGACGAATCTTCTTGTTGAAATCAAGCACTTCCAGCAAGGCATCCGAAAAAAGTCAGCTAAATCATAAGATCAATCCAATGAATATCAACTCAGCATCTCAGCATTTCCAATCCTTTCCAGTGTTCCACTCCCTTCCCCAGCCCAGGCAGCCACCCTTTGGTTCGCCGCTTCAGCTGGGACTTGGGGGATCCGGAGCCACGCCTTCGTTTGGTCGTCCTGCGAGTGCCTGGGTCCGGTGATCGCTGAAGGATTCACGGCTACGCTGATTCATGGGGAATATGGGGATGTAACTGATGTAACCAACAAAGATAGTGAACAAATCTGGAAAACATTGGTATATTCATGGGATATCATGGGATATTTGATATTCCATGGTATATTCATGAGATGTTCATTGAATCAACGTGAATGCTTTCCTGGGGATTTCCCTCAAAGCCATCCATTGAATCATACCGTCATAGCCCAGATGTTTGATGATCAATATTTATAGATGGGGTATGACAAAGAACTGGGATATCCTGTGATTTCAGGTCCCAATAAATGGGGATAGCGGGATAGCACATGACACGTATACTCAATAGATTCACCATATTTAACAATATGTTTCATCTCCATGTTCAACCTATCTTTACGGTGGTTTGAAGTTAAGATCGGGAAGCAAACATGATGATCAACCATCAGGTATATTGGGGTAGTTATAGTTTGTTTTCTGGTAGTCAGTTTGTAAACTGGATGGTGGTTCAAAAAAGATACTACAGTTACTCAGTAATCATAGTAATCTATACAGCAGATATATTCAACCCATTTCACACATGATTACAGTATCCCAGATGGATAATTTTGTTTAGAGGATCTTCCTCGATGGCAAGACGCCCACTTTACTCGTATCACGGGCGTGTGAAATGCGTGGATGTCATGAAGAGATTTAAGGAGTGTTGAGATAAAAGATATAACATGTGTGTAAAAACGACACATTTGGTTGAGCCGCACATCAATCCAAACATCATTGAACTTCCTTAGATTCATTTCATAACTTGCGTACTGTCTTGTTTGCTTCATCCACAACACGCGTCAGTTCATCCCCAGGCTCTGATTCTGGCGAATCGGGCAACCTTGCTCCCCAGCAGCGAGCGCGAGGCTGGCAAAGTGCAAGGTCTGATGAGAACTGAAAACCGCTGTCGGATCTTCATGGCCATCGGAATAGTCCCATCCCCATCCATCCCCCATATATCCTATTATGTCCTCATATGCAAGACCCCCCAGAAACCATGGGCATAGCACTGGAATCACTGGAAGCTATGGCACTATAGTATTAAACACCTCCCACTGGTCCACTGAACCAACTTCCAGTGCTTCGATGAATCTCTAGGCGTTGGAGCCAAGCATGGAGCCCAAAGGGGAAGCTCTGACGAAGGTGCGCCATGCATATCAGATTCCCGCAGCTATTGATGAGATATTCACGATGACATAAAGTGAGTCAATCGTGTGCAAGTTGTTGGTTGATTCAAAAGTATTGTGAACCAGTCTTATTATGTAATTATGTAAGACTAAAATTTATACTTCAGCGGTTTATCGATGCATCAGCTGCTCTGTCACTGCTTCAAAGCAGCAAAGTCCCAGTCCTACTATGATTTCTTGTTGTTCCCACAACATCCCACTTCTATGGGCCCCCTTTCCGTATACCTTTCCCAGGTTGAGTTGATCCAGATGGATCCAGATGGATACAGATGGCCTTCCCCGTCTGCCAGGCCCTTGGCAGTTTGGGCCTGGGGCATCGTGCGCACGAGCTGCAGGATGCGTTACAGGTCTTTACTGTGCCGCAACTCCGAGAGAAACAGCTTACGCGCAAGGACGGCATGTTGGAAAATGGATGGAAAATGCTTGGAGATGTTGGAGATGGAAAATGCTATCGAGTAAACTGCACAGCGAGTGTGCAGATAGTGCACAGTGTCAAATTGTGATTATTTGATTCGGTGAGGGAATCACCAAGATGATGAGAAGTGGCAGGACTTTGACAACTGCTTGCGGCCAGTGGCCTTGCTTTCAGATGGTGAACATCGACGTCTTTGGCGCTTCATCATGGAATTGCAACTTGGTCAGCACAGCTTTCAGATGTTTGTAGTGGAGACAAGTCCTGTTCATATTTAAAGCATGTTTCTTAGCAGGGTCTAGAGATTCTAAACACACTGAGTTTAGGTCAGCGGACAAAGCTAGACAAATGCATGCAATTGACTACACTTTGGCGAACGCCAAAGGGAAGCTCGTCAAAGTTATCAACGACCTCTTGTCACCAGCCATGGTTGCGACTGAGGCAAGAGAACCAGCAGAACCAGCAGAACCAGCAGCAAAAGGTCAAGAGCTCCAAAGCAAATGGTGCCACGAATGCCAAGGCATTCCGCTCCAATGATTGGGGATGCATCAGATGCACGATATTCTTTTTAATGATTGGATCGCAGATTTGTTTCTTCAACACTCTTCAACAATCCAACATGTATCAACAGTTTATGAATATTTTTTATCAATCATGTCATGTGAGATACGGTGATATGTCGATATATCAATGTGACATGCAACTGGTTGGTCATGGCACGTTTTTGACCCCACGTGGCCATCACCAGGCAGCGCTCTTAGCCATGTCACGGCCGTCACGGCCCGTCGCGAAGGCAGCGCAGGAGAGCACAGCAGGTGCCATGACGCAGATGCTCCATATAGACTCCATAGGTGTAATAGTCAATTATGGTTGATGGTGATTGGTTGGTGAAATATGGTTTGATGATGTTTGATATTATAATATATTATATATATAGAGAGAGATACATGTGTGTGTAGTAGTAATGATTAGGTATGGATATTTATATGATGGTCACCTTTATACATTTACATCAGACAATCAGATATTGATATGTATACTGTATTAATATATTATTATATTATATTATATATACACGGTTCATCGATTGTCAATGTTGAATGGAGTTTGCAACACCAACAACTATTCCACCATGGCCATTTGCGACCTGCCTTTTTTTGCATGACGATGGAGAACCCTCCAGGCAATGCAGGTCGACCAAAGATGGATGGCTTTGCCGATGGTCTGCAGCTGATCTTCAACGAAGCCTTGCCGGACACAGCCTTCACACTTGTAGCGCCCAATAGCATTTGGTGAAATTTGGATCTATGGAATCTATGGGTCTGAGAATCGCTTGAAGAGAGTTGATATGATGATGATGATGATGATGATGATGATGACGATGATGATGATGATGACGACGACGACGATGATGATGATGATAGGGTGTGGGGATAGTTTAAAGATCTTGGAGAGAGATTTCGCTAATCCACGCATTTCTCTCATAGTGGGATGCATTGGATTGAACCATGGCACCTGCTGTGGTCAGTCTATACTTGACAATATTTGACACGTCAGAGCCAGATTTAATTCCACGCCATTGCGCACATTTCAGGTGTCTTTTTGCTATGGCCTGAGATTAAGCAGGTAGAATCATTTGTGCCGATCAAGATCGTCGGCTCCAACGCCGCGAGCAATTTTTGGTGCTTCCATATTTTCCCTGGGCCCTTGCGGCCCTTGCGTGGTTCTCTACGGGAAGCAACACCCAGTCCGAGTCTGTGCAATCTAAGAGAGATGAGTCTCATTTGGAGTTGTCGGATGTTCTCGGACTCGGACACATGACTTCACTATACTTCACTATATATCATTTGAAACTCTTTAAGGTTAATTCATGGGTGAAGGATCTGGACATATTTTCACACAAAAGTTTCTCAGTGATTGTCTACCCACGAAGTTTTGTATTGGCAAAGATGGCCATCACAGACCTTCACTTTGGCGTCGAGCCGATCTGTGGAATGTCACAGAGCTCAAGCCACGCACGCAGAGCGCGCGGCTCCAATGGCCATTGGCATTTTTGCCAAAAATGCTGTGCCAAGATGTCAATGTGGGCAAGATGTGAGAAGCTCGCGAGAGATCATTTGCCACTGACATGTTCCGAAGACACGAACACATTTTGACATGCACTTATTATGTTTGGGATCTTTTGGGCACTGAGTTACTGAGCTGTATTCACAGCAACTAGGCGAATCACATCGAATCACACATTTTCTTCGCTGCACGGCAGGACATGAAGCTGGCATTGATGGAACTGCTTGGTACCTTGCCAGTGAGGTTGTACGATTTTTAGCATAGATCAAAGAGACGGAGTTACCTAGGAGGGATAATTTTTGGGATGTTTCTAGCAGCATCTCATCAGTTGACCACGATGTGGATGCTAAGATGAAGCAAATGGTACTTTTGCATCGGCTTTTCAAGACATATCTCCTGATTTGAGGTATGTCAAGGTGGCTATACATATTTCATGAGGTGATATCGGAAGAAATGATGACGGCCGCTTGCGTATTTTGGAGCCTTGGTGCAATGAAATTATCATCGCCACTGTGACAATGGATGATTAGTGCAATCCTTGAAGCAGCAGTTTGTTCACAGAATTTGGGCAACATGTTTGCCAAAGAATCGTCATGTTGTCCCATCTTTGAATCTGTGGTCACTGGGGTCCCAAAAGATTTCTCTCTCCATATAATATAATGATGTAGAATCAGATTGAATCAGATCCTTATGAATGCTCATAAATTTACATAAAACCTCTATGTTGGACGATAAGGGACTATGGTTTCCAGTTGATATTTTCCCTTAAATCAGCCCATGTTTAGCGATGTTTGGTGTTTGGCGGTGGGTTTCCACCCAGGAGCTGTGCAGCGGTGTGGGTGTTATTGGTTTGAGCTTGGCGCATGCGGCCTCCCAGGACAAAGGTGACCTGGTAAAACCCAGCCTATGGAAGAAGGGGGTTGTTCCAAATAACGGTTCACTTCTATCATATGCTATATGCAATTCTAACGATGTTATAGGATAGTCTGTGTGCTTCAGTGAAAATTGTGTTGCACATTACTAGAATATTGAAAGGAACGTGTGACTTGTGGTTGATGATATTCAAATAAAATTAAAACATCATTTGAATCACTATATAGTCAACATATGGGTATGGATCAATACCTATTAATACCATTTTTAGTGGGATGAACATCCATAAATCCCAGCTATTTTGATGTTCACCAGGGGTACCAGGGTTTTGACCCATCCCCATATGTCAAAATGATATTCTGCAACTGACATCCCCAAGTCATGGGTGCAGGACCTGAAGGTGAGCCTCCTGAGCACGGATGTGAATCCAAATTGTGCCGCGGTCAGTGGCCCCCCGGTGTTTTCGATCTTGAAAACGATGGAAAAACCCAGGTGGAACTATGGGGAAGATCTATATAATCTTCGGTCAAAGAGGAAAATAATACACCTGGAATTGGGAATCTAATCTTGCGGCATATCCGCCTTGGTGTGTCTGCATGATTCTGCCATAATTCTGAAATACAGTTTGCTTGATTCATGGTATCTAAGCGAAGCATGGCAAGATTTGTACTTTATACCTTCGGACTCCTTTGGAAGCAGAGCTTCAAACTGTTGCCACGAGTATCGGTAGGCCTATCATTGGGGGGGCAGGGCGGTGCTTTAATTCTGACAAGTCTTTGAACGCATCAACTGACATCATTGCCAGTTGCAAAATACAACAATGTTTGCAGTTCGATGTTTGGCGTTCTACAGAAGTTCTACAGCAACCAAAATGTGGCGATGACGAGGTGCAGATCTTTTCCATGAGAATGCCAAGCGGACTTTTCCAGAGGAGCTTCCCATGGGCGAGCAGCGAATAGAGTGTGTTTGATATGCTGTGGTATTGTATTCATCATCCCTTGAAGCCTTGTAAAAGACATAAAAAGACATAAAAAGACAACTATAGACCAATGATGACCAATGATGACCAATGATCACAGGCAAGAGAGATGCCAGACTTAATTAAAGTGAATGGTGGTGCCATGTGCTGCCATTGGCCTGACATGTAGACAAGTCATCCAGGAGTTTGTACAGCTGGGTCATTCATGCCACGGCCAGGAGCAGGACTGTGATGTGAAATTCTCAGCATGCACAGCTGCGGAGGCATTGAGAGAATCGTTTGTAATGACCGGATTCCAAGGAGGGCGGAGATGTCAGATTTGTGATTCATGCTCTGAACCAAGACAACCAATGCAGCAATCGTTGTGTCACAGTAGGCCACAAGTTGTTGGGAAAATGGTGCGGATCATTTTTTAAGCATTTATCATGAGACTTCAGGAGTGGAATCTATACTATAGTTGTTTCAAAGTGCAGCTCATATCAAGTGTCTTTTGTCAATGGAATATCCTTGGAACATCCCAAATAATCACATCCCCCAATATTTCATCCCTCCATATCAGCTCTGAACATAAATCATGGTAAATCCCAATACTAAACCGGGGGGTTCTCAGAGCACAGCTGAGCCAGGCTTTAGCTGCTCTTGCTTCAGATGGAGCTGATGTTGCCTGGTGAAGCAACATGGGTTCGTCCCAAATTGATGGGGAAACATGGAAAAACCATGGGAAAACCATGGAAAACCACGGGTGAATGATCATTTTCCCCATGAGAATGGCCTGAGAATGGAGTAAACTCAATCGAGTCTACTCCACTCTCAGACAAACCCACCTTTTGAAGCAGGACATGAGGCGTCCAACCACTCCAACCACGCTTTCCTGGGCCCAGGTTCTCGTGATTGACCCACCCCGTCGTGGCCTAGCAGACAGACGCTTGCGCCAACGGCTGGAGGGTGGAGAGGACAGCGATGAAATGCTCTTGCAAATATGGTGCCTGCAGGGCTCTAGATTGCTCCTATCCTAGATTTCAAAATATATTTGGAGGAATTCCATAGTCAGACTCTTGATCGAAGTTCTGAACATATAAATCCTAGGCAACTGATGAGTGACCTCCCCCAAATGACCTTGATAGATGCAACCCAGAACTGCTGGGAGGTCACTCTTAAACATTCACAGCAGGACCAAGCAGCAGCTATTTGCAACTCTGGAGTGCAAGCCGAGCCTTGGCAAAAACTGCAGTTCTGCCCGTTCTGCTCAAGGAACTGATGGGACTTGATGACAAGCACAAGATATCACAAGATATCACAGAATGATTGAGCAACCCGGAACAACCTGGAACAACCCGAACAGAAGCATGGCATTTTGATCATGTGGATTCATTTGGTACATTACAGAGGTAAGCCCGGTAAGCCCATGTAAGCCCCCAAGTACTACTTGCACCAGTGGAGATAGTAGAGGCGCTATCCAGAATCCTAATTTCAGGAACAATTTCAAACAGCGGGCGCATGATGGAACTCAAAGCTTCAGCATTATGTCCTTGGGAGTTCCTTGTGAATTCGACGGGTAAAAGATGCTGTTGACTGGAACATCGTTGCAAGTGAGGTCATCTACATGAGTTGTTCCTCGTCTGAGACATATTCCAGGCAGTTTGTGGAGAACATTGGAGAATGGGGCCCCCCAGTGATGTTTGTTGGTTTATAAACCATGAAATAATCCCCATTAACTATAGTAACTATAGTTATATCTACCATTTACCATCCTGTATGGTTGGTTGTTCCCATGGCCTTTTTGTTCCGTTTCGGACGTGCGGACGGCTCCCAGGTGGGCACGACAGTTTCATGGCAGATGCAGAACGGCTGATGAGCGGAACCAACGCTGGCGCCTTCCAGTTAAAGAGCCTTAGCGGCTTGGAAACACATTCGAGTGCAAGATTGTGCAAGCCAGAAAATGCTGGAAACAGGAACGCCAGATGGGTTAGTGTGTATTTGTGTTTGTTGATGATTGTCAGTGAATGTGGTAGATCAGTTGTAAATAATCAACTCAATTGGGTACGGCCCGGGTACGGCAGGATTAAGCCACCGGGTATGGTTTCGTAGTGGCTTCACCACATCACTCTTGGAAGTTGAAAGTATCCCACAGCCAGTGGGTTACCAATTTCAAGACTTGGAGATCCCAAAGGCATGGCTTTGCAGACCGTATCATACCGTTTTGGAGGAAGTTTGAGGTGATTTTGAGCAAACAAAAACCATCAAAAACCCTTTTAGGCTCCGGGAATGTAACTAGGTGTTTGGGTGTGTAATTATCAAGGTTTGTGTCTGAATTTTGGTGCGGACATGTTTATGGAATGTTTCTACCTTACTGATCCTTACTGTATCTTGCTGTAAATCACAAGACGCTCTGTGATAGCGGAGGCTCCCTTGGCTCCCAGGTTGCTACGACATGTTTCCCTACACTCCGCATCTGGAGATCCTGGGGATTTTCCGTCGAAACCAGGGAACCCGGCCGGCGATCCGGCGGGATGTGCGTGCCAACACAGTCCAGGCGATGGGGAACAAGTTTTGGGATACAGTTTGAATGCCCAGAATAATAAGTTATAAGTCAGTGGTTGTTAATAATACCAGTTGTATATAGTTGTATTAATGTTGTATTATATCATATATATCCAGATATAGTTTTTGTATATTCAATGACTGATAAGTGAGGATCGAGTCTGACAGAAGAGGGAAAGAACAGCCAAGTCAACTCTCCACCTAATGTCAATTTCCTCGTCATTTTTGGGAGACAGCTGCGTTTGTCAAAACAGTAATTTAAGTTCAGGAAATAGCTTGATGCATGATGAGTAACATGTTTGTATAAAATCATCTTTGATCCAAGTGTTCTTGCTCCGAAGGCTCAAGCGGACCAAGGGCAAAAGCTGCAGTGCCAGTTCATCATTGGCATCGAACAGGACGCAGCTCGCAGGCGTCTCCCTTTTCACAGCGATTAAAGCAGTGGGGTCCTTGCACTGAGGAGAGGCATCCTAAATTTTCCATCACAATGCGGGCTCCAGGACAGGGCTTTCAATGTCAAACAGCGCTTGCTGGGCACTCGTGGACATCATGTGCAACTCGGTGGGATCGTACTGCCTCTCTCACAAGAATCACGTGGTGATCCCCTCGTCTACAACACAATCCAATTATATAGATCCAAATAGTAGCCCTAATGAGCCCGCCCCAACACAAAATCACCTCGTCCGGTCAACTGCTCTCTCTCTCTCTCTCTTTTCTCTCTCTCTCTCTCTCTCTTTCTCTTTCTTGCTTTCTCCCTTTCTCTCTTTCTGTTTTTCTTTCCTTTCCTTCCTTCCCTCCCTCCTTGCTTCCTTGCTTCCTTGCTTCCTTGCTTCCTTGCTTCCTTGCTTACTTCCTTCCTTCCTTCCATTTCTCTCTCTCTCTCTCTCTCTCTCAGCCAGTTTCTTTGATTTCCTTTTCGCATCTTTCTTTGGGGCTCGTCCTGTCCGGGTGAAAATTAACGGCACAAACTTCGTTGTGCTACTAGAAACTCGGCCAATTTTGTGGATCCATCGGCATAACCAAATGACTTGACCCGACGGCATCCGACGGCTACAGGAAGCTGATCGCCCAACGTGCTGACTGCAAGTTGCGTCTACGTGGCTGGGGCTCTGGCTTCAAGGTGAATGGTGCCTGGGGTGACCGGGGTGGCTGGTGATAGGGTGGGATCCTACGTCACAAAGTGGTATTGTGTGTATAGTATTGTATAGTACTTGACCTCAGGCTCAAGCTTCTTAATGTAAACTCCAATCTCCGGAGAGAACTCGATTCTGCATATGCTGCGGCCAAAAGTTCAGGTTTTCTGTGGAAGCCATGCCAGGAGGGTCCACGACGTCGTGAGTCAATGGACCCCCTGATGCTGTGTATTAGCAGCAAGAACGAGAGCAAACATCGAGAGGCAGTGACTTGGAGATGTTTGGCTTGCTTGTTCTGCATACTTTCACGGGGCCTCAAATGTTTTTACCTTGCAACTTGGAGTTGAAAGTCTTCAGCCTTGGAACCCTCCAACCTCTTGGCCTAGGTGGAGCTAGTACAGGGACTGGTGGAAGATGTCTACCAACAGCAGCTGGGATAGCAGCTTCTCTGTGTGCAAACTTTCGGGAAAATGATTAGCCATTAAAATCATTAAATTCAATCATTATATATCATTATATCAAGAAAGAATTCTTATGAATTAAGATTCAGAAGCATCACGACTGGGCTTTTGGGAGTCGGCAAAAAGCTGAGTGACAAAGCTTGTAACCTTGGCTTGAGGTCAATCCCAGCTGCAGATGTGGGTCAGAAATGGAACAGTACATTATACGCCAAATATATTGGCATTTCGACCGAGAACTTGGACCAAAGTTGGGCCCGTTTGTAGAAACTTTGGCCCAACTTGGGCCCAACACGGACCCAACGTGGACCCAACCCGAAAGGTTGAAAAGATGTTTTTTCGTGGGTATTTCAATGGTATTTCGGTATTTCCAACTTTTTGGCCTTGTGGTAGGTTCGTACTGGGCTATGCTACCCATGTTGGGTCTGCGTTGGGTCCAAATTGGATCGTAGCACAGCTGCCGCCAAACGGGCCCAAGTTGCACCAACCCCATTTGCGAACAGTTTTGGACAATCCCAAACAGGCAAATAACTAATTAAACAGATGAGCAGGCTTAATTGCATCCAATATGTGGTTTCCAAGATTGGTTTTCAATGGTCCATCATCATTTTCTCCGCTAAAATCATTGCTTGGGGTCCATCCTTCATGCTTGGACAATGCCAGTTACAGATGGCCGCACCAGGTATCGGTCCTTCAAAGATGCCCGTGGAGAGGTGGCACCTGAGCTGAAGGCTTGGTGCTGGGATGGAGCATGTCCCCGAAACAAAACCAAGCTTCATCGTCGTCGCCAGCAGCAGCAGCAGCAGCAGCATCATTATCACCACCAGCAAATTAACACTTCTGCAAGGAAACACACAACATGCTAAGACCATGAGTCATGAGTGCTTGTTTTCCATGTTTGTCAAGAGTTGATCATGAAATACATTTTTTGTATGTTTTTTGTATGTATCCATTTTGTTTTTACAACTCATTATTATTCGTTGTCCTTTGATGTTCCCAGATTCATTGTGCAACCCCCATGTGCCACCTCTGACAGTTGACCAGGTTCAAATCAACCACGGGCCACGTCCTGGCAGTCGCACCAGATGGACAACCTGACAGCGGATGCAAACATCTTGGGTTGTCTCCAAAGCGTTGGTGGGCGCTGCTGAACCGAAACAGCTTCTAGCACCAGCGATTCCCAAGACGTAAAAGACAAGAGAGTGCTGGCGACCATTGAAATTCCTGGCGTGGTCAAACGACGTCAACTTGCTCAGGAGAGTCAGACTGGACATCAAGTCGTTTGGCGGTTACAATGATCACCCAGGTGTCGACTCAGGAGAGCTCTTGGTGACGCTGGTGCCTTCTGGTGCGATGTCACCCATGTCTTCAAATCGATGGAGAGATCACATTCAGAATCAAGGACTTCTGTGTGATCCAGAGAGAAAAGGGGATGACAGGGAGTGGCAACGGCAAAAGCAGTTCTAGAAACAGGATGATTGTCAATCAATATTGCCAAATCTCTGACGGAAATAGTATACAGTTCCATATTTTATAATGTTATAATTCACTCTTTCAGACCTTTCAGTAGGCCCTCCCACGAATTTTTGTTGCTCTTCTTGCAAACATTTTGAATACCGCTGCCATTTGGAAAGTCCAACCCCGTCATTGCAACGAAGCGGGTTTCCTGTTCTCTATGGCTCGCATACTGAAGGCGCAGCAATGTGTTTATATGTGTGTATATAATATATATATATATATATATATTATATATATTATATATATATACACACTGGTATGCTTATACTTATATCTATTGATTTAGATGCGATGTGTTTGTTGTTATCATTCATGACATGATATCCGCTGAGAGCTGATATGAAGCACCAGTGAGTTGAATAGTGCCCCGCAAGGCATTCTTGGTGGCACTGCTGGTGCCGCAAACTCTCGCATTGGTGACAGAGAGTCTTGGCAATGAATCAGCTAAACTTATGGAAAATAAATGAAGTTCTTTAAAACCAGCTCTTGTACATTTTTTTTTTTGAGAAGGAATCCTAAAGTTCTCCATAAGAGGTCAGGTTGAGGGACAAATGGTCACATGCAATATTATGGTATTGCTGGTATAGTCAAGAGTCATGTGGGAATGGGTTTTGATCCATGGTACCAGGGTTTTGAACTGCGATCATGGACCGATACAATTTGGGAATCCGATGCGGGTGCCGTCCAAGAGTGACACATCAGCAACGTATGACTGTTATACTCAGGCAAATTCACGACTTAGTTATATTATGTATCATAACAACCCTTTTCCTCTAATATTAAGCAACACTAAATGGGTCCCAATATATTGTATCCCCTATATATACTTGTACATCCAGCATAGTTTTTGCGGGGGGTAATCTGGACGGTGGACAGGATTTATATCATACATAACATACATATAATAGATAGAATATTATAATGTTATGCTATGTCTATCATCATATGTCATATATAACTGGTATGTGATGGTTATAATCAACCACTTTCACTAGTCAGTTTAGTCAGTTACACCTTAAGGACCCCAATTCCAATGTGGCCCCAATCCACCAGCTGTTAGGAGCCGCGATGAGCCGGAGACCAAGGCCGGATTCTGAGAGGTGGCTTCCGGTGAATTTATGTAGTGATACTCTGTGAATCTCTGTGAAATAATGCAAGTATATTCAGTATATATGATATGCTCGTATGATATCAAATTATATCACATTGTATCATAGATGGTTGCAGATTGTTGCAGAATCGGTTGATTCAGCAAAGACACATTACAGATCTCATGATCTCCCATATCAATATCTCACCGGCTTGATATTGTTGCCTTTCCTTTGTGCCAGGTGAGCTCAAACAAGATCACACCCTTTGGCAGGGACAGCCATTTTGGGGCATGTCCTGCTGACCTTTTTCAGATCTGACCACTTTTTAGATCTCTTTAGATCGAGGACTTGGATCATTTTTCGCTTGGTGTATCTCTGGCAAGATGACTTTGATGGTTTTTCTGTCTTTGGATGACGCTTTGTTGCTTCTCAATGGTCAATGGTCCAGGAGAATACGGCCGGTGAACTTCAGGATAGAGCTTCCAAGACCCAGGAGACTGCTCAAATATTGTTGTGAAATTGTTGTCCAAGCTGCTTTAGACCTTTGCAAATGCAAGACAACCGAAATCCACTCGACTCTAAATAATCCTGAGATCAGGACACCTTAGTGGATGCAGTTGAGAATGCGGAGGTTGGAAGCGGTTTGCTTGCAAGCTGGGTGATCAAACATGATCAAGCATATTTTCAGTGTCTAATTGCAAGGTGCCCAAAGTCTCACAGTCCCTTTTTTGTTGCCATGTTAATTAACTAGATATTAACTAGATATGTGATGATCACAATACATCGGCACATAGTATATATAATTATATCAATGATCATATACATGACATCCAACATCAATACATAAGATAGTTGTTGTTCTACATGATTTACGATATATCATAGTACATGTTTGTCAGAATAGAACATACATGTTGTAATACATAATATTATATATTAATAGGTTTCCATAAATGGGGGTATCCAAAATGGTGGTTTATAATAGAAAATCCCATCTATGCATGGATGATTTGGGGGTACCCCTATTTCAGGAAACCACCATATATATACATATATAGTGTTACCCTATTTTTTTTAGCCTGTGCATGGATAATGTAGTGTTTGGGGCTGGGCAGCACCACTTTACTGCTACAAAACCATGACCCAACAGTCACCCCCAAATACCAACCCCGATCAGTATATGTATATATATATTATATTGTATATAATATTATAATATTAATATGCAACTTTATGGCGTCTGAAAAAAGGTGGCGGAGATCAAGCGCGCCGTCTTCCGAGCGCTGACGCGTCTCCGCGCCGCCACCATCAAGGACGGAGGGGCGTCGAAATGTGTGGGGATTACCCGCAGGTTGAAAAAGGATGGTGAAAATATGGAAAGCATATGGAAAAATTAGGAAACATGTGTGGACATAGATGAAAACCAGGTCTGAAGAAAAGGATGCAAGCAGGATAATTTGAGTGTAGGATTATCTCAAAAAGATTGCGCAGATAGATCTTCAAGGATGACCTGTTGCTCATAGCTCCAGGAGTTTGACACCATCGCACGCTTGGAGACGCAATCCATTGATGCGTACAACGATGCCCATCACTACCGTCCGGAAACCAGGGATGAAATGGGGATGGAAACAGGAAAACTTGTGTTGAACCATCAGCAATGAAGGTCCAAACATCAAACGGGGACGGGGTCAATTGCAATCAATTCCCTATGGGACCATCTGGATGAACGTCACCAGCAGCTAGTTGTGGGCTACACATGTGATGCCATCTCATATGCTCACTCTAGATGGAAGAAATCGCATCATGATCCCACTATTTGCCGTGTTTCACCAATAGTTTACCAACTGGTGCAGGATTTCTTCCGTCCATCCACAGTAGGTTGTGAAGTTTGAGCGATGCCCAACCGCTTGATGGCTTTGTTTGGGCTTACTCGAACTCTTTTAACAGGGGACAATACTAATGCAATTAATGGGAGTCCTAATCAACTGCAATCAATTTTCATCAATCTTAATTTATCTCAATAAATCTTGAGCAATTGTCATGATCAATTATTCATCAACTAATCATCAATTGTCATCAATTCTGCTATTTATCATAATCAATTCTGAATCAATTATGCTTTTCATCAGTTATCATCAATTGATCAGTGGGATAATCAATTCTCATAACTCATCATAATCATTTTATTCATCAATTCTTAATCACGATTGAATTCACCCAGCCCATCCTGCAAGGCCACGAGAATCCCTTGTCGCACTTGCACGAGGACGAGGCACCAGTGCAAACTGACAAGCTGACGCCGCAGCCTCAAGCGTCAAGAGTGGTTTTATTTTATGGTCATCGAGGTGCTACTAATTGTTATTTATGTGGTTATACCATGTTATACATTGTTATACCATGATTTACCATGTTATACCATCTATTAGATTATAAATAAGAATGATAGATAATGACTGATCTATGGTTATAATGGTAAATAAGTACCCGGAAATTGTTATCTTATCAATGTAGTTATACGCTCTTACAGTTATACTCTCTTACATAGTTATCGATATTCTATGAGCCAATCTAGTGCGACTCCTGGTTATCAATTGATTTTTATAGATGCTTTTACTACAACCTAATTTATAGAGACTTTTGATAACCCACAAGTACAGGATACGTATTAAAGTTAGCAAAGCAGTATCATGGGATGGGATAGGGTATTTTTTTTCATGGCTCAAACAAGGGAAAACAAAGGAAGAAGTGGTATTTCCATGTGTTGACAGTTGTTGACTTCCGTGTCGAACCCGAGGTCTTTCCACTGAGTGGCTATGCCTAGGAAGCGACCTTCTTGAAGCCAGTGCTCCCTCCCAAAACGGAAGCTTGTGTGCGTTATTGCGCCAAAAGATGGTGTTCAGCAGAGCAGCAGAGTTAATCGGTGGTTGGGGCCATTTAGATCCATTTTGAAATATACGTTGTTACGGCATAGAAGGGCCCAAATGGAAAGAACCAGCTTTATTCTTTTTGCCAAATGACAAGAAGTTCGAGTTTAACGTCAAGACCATGCAATGTTTTCAAGCGCGCAAAGAACGGAATTGTGATGGATTTTGGCAGGGTTCTTCCCGGATCCCAAGGGCTGCTTCACCATGAGGGGGAGAGCATGGGAGAGCATCCAGGCAATTCTTCAAAAGATCAACTGCCACATAGTCCTTGCAGCAATCAGCATCAATCAATCCATCAATCAATCAGCAATAGCATTGGACCTGTGTTCCTGATTGACACTTCGGGATGTGAAGCAAGCAAAAACTCGACAGAATTTCGGATCTCTGTGGATTTGACATTTAGCTAGCTATATTACATGATCCTGCAACTTTTGAGCACCAATCAAGAACAAATACTCAGTGGTTTCAGATCTCAAGAGCCACCAGATAGATTCTGAAGCTCATCTTGATGCCCTTACCATGGTTTTCAATGTATCACCATGGTCGGAAGCCGAAGCCGGATGCATTGGGGCCACATGGGCGACCAATGGACTCGAATGGACCTAACCGTCCCAAAATGTGTTTCAATCAATTTGAGCCAAACCGGCATGGGCCATATCCATATAGTCTAGTTGTCCTTAGTTTTCCCGGAAATTCGTGATGTTGAAGGCAAATTGATCTCCAGCACTCGCATGTTCTTTTTTTTTCAATGGTTATCATCGGCATCCCTCTTTCTAGATGTCCTTGTTCACGGCTCACATAGCGGAAGTGGGGAAATCATGGGAAATCAGGAGGTTTCCTGACATGGGGCTACCCCCAAATCATCCAAATCATGGATTACCATTTTAGATATTTGAGAATATATTAGATCATTTAAGTATACAAACCCATGTTGCTCCCCTGGCAACTTGATATTTCCACCATTGGATGATGTCTTGGCCTAGACCTTGGCCATTTCAGACCTGGGGGAGATCGATTGTGCGGCAGCACTGTGGCTGTCCCTCGGTCACTGGAGAAAAGTGGGATTCCGGGTGTCGATTCGTCGTCTTGTTTTGCTTTATGATGTTCTTATATTTTATAGAAATATATGTTATATATGTTATTATTCTTAATGAAATCCCGGTATTTATATCCCGTTGTTTGGGTTGGTGTGTATATTTCTGTGTGTGTTTGTGTAGGTAGGAGCATGTTTTCAAGATGGGTTTCTCAAAAAAATGTGGTACTGTATACAATTCAAGGCATTTCTTATGGGGAAAGTCACTGTGACAGACAATGATAACTTGGCATTTGTTTTAGGGCTACTCATTTTCAGGCAAAGCTGCAACAACCTTTTGCTGCTGAGATGCACCGGCGAGATGTTCCCTTTGAATTGTTTGGGTTAGGCACCGGCAAGGAACGTCCTGACGATTTTTTGCCCAAGATGTTCAAAATCCATCAAAATCCTACTAGATAAGGAGCTATCCTTTATGCGCTGGTGAGGATGTTTTCATAGCCATTTCTTCGCGACAGTGCACCAAGAACCCTGATTTTTTCCTACCATGGCGACTCATGAGGCAGAGGTTGCGCAGTGAGGAATGCTTGCCAGAGAAAGGCTGGGAGAAAAATGCATTGTCAGCAGATTATCGAAGCCTAAGCCTCATGCCACAGGTTGGTTAATATCCCATGCGTATCCATGTTTTGATTTTGAACATCACATTCAGATGGGGATGGATAGGTTAAAACCATTTAAAACCTATGATTCCCTGTGTTTTTTGGGGTGAATATCCATGTTCCAGGTTCATCAGCAGGGTACCATGTGTTTGATTTAGTTCATCTCCCATAGCTAAAACCGCCCTAGGAGATCCTAGGAGTATATCTAACATTATCTAACTATAATGAACTATCCTGAGATGGGGGCACCCCCAAATCATCCAAGCCATGAGACCATTTTAGTATTGAAACCCATGGTTAAAATAGGATCCCCCATTTCAAGAAATGCCCATATATGTTAATGGAGGTGTTAGCCGCAATCTCTTGAAATTGGATGTGATACCATACAACAGGTTTGTTTCACTGGATGTAATATTCTAGTTTGTGATAATTGCATATCATTCCTATGTATGTTTGATAATTCTTATGTAACCTATGTATTTTTCACCCAGTTACTATGTTTCACTGGGACGTCGTTGTTTCCCAGGCTTGCTGGAAACCTTGTGCCGTCGTGAGAAGGATGGCCGGCAGCAGGCTGAGGCAGCGGCCACAGCCATTTGCGTCAAAATGGGGGATGGCCTCCATGTTGTGGACGTTCTCTGTGTGTGTGTGTGTTTTTCTTCTTTTCTAAGCACACATATACATATATATATATACACACACGATATAATTATTATGTTATGTCATATTATATCATATTATACTATGTTATATTATGTTATGTTAGTCTATGTTATGTTATATTATATCATATTATGTTATGTTATATTACATTATATTACATCATACTACATTATATTACATTATATTATATGATTTATATACACATATATTTACGTATATATTTACGTAGATATTTCATCGGGGAAGATTGAAGAAGAAGGAAGTGAAGAGGAAAAACACAAATAAGGAAAAAATGAAGAAGGAGAAGAAGAAGATGATGATAGTGGTGATGGTGATGATGATGACGAGGACGATGATGATGACGATGATGATTATGTGATGATGACGATGATGACTATGTGATGATGACGATGATGATACCGACCCGTGGGATTGGATGGGGTTCAAATTCTTGAGACGGCAGGCGTTGTTACCTGAAAGTTTGGCAAGCGAAACACCTGTTTCAGTCAGCTTGGGAATGGCTCAAATTATATATATATATATGCATCCAAATTGTACAGTGACATACGAGAATCGACCTACTTTTGAGAGTCCAACCATGCCTATGCAATCCATCGGTGTTTTACCTATGCAAAAGCCATACATGCATCCAGATCTATGTCACGTGGTTTTTGTGAAAACAATTTAACACTACACAAATCTAATAGACATATCCATTACTATCATTATCAATCTTTATTACAACATCATACAACATCTATATCTAGATTCATATCCAGTATATTTTGGTCTACATTCCTTCCCTGCTAGGCCGTAGTTGCCTCGGAACGCCGCCGGGCAGATTTGGCAGTAGCAACTTGGACATGAAAAATGGTGATTTGAAGATGGTGATGGCATGTCTTGGGGGCAATTGGTGGGCTCAGCCTTAGCAGAATCTCGGTTTCGAATGGACTAACGAACACTCAGACGTTTTTGCATTTGTGCAGTTGCGTGCCGTAAAACAACCTTAATGCCTCAGAAGTGACGCTACTCTTGAGGAGTGCTTGGCAAGGGAAAGATCTGCGCACCATCAGCGCGAGAAACTTCTCAAGGAAGCTCAGGCAATTTTGTTGTTGTCGAGATCGTGTCGGATCGAACCCACAACTAGTGGAAAAGAAATCGCAGGGTTCACTGTCTTCCAGGTGTATGATCGAGACCCTTGTTTCTTCACCATACCAAGACTCATAATTCAAGCCTGCAGTTTGTCCGTGTAGTGGTTTGGCCCAGCATTGTGAATATTGCCACATTACTGAAACTATTCAGACTATTTGGAAACATGTGACCTAGTAACGAAACATGTGTTTCAAGCAGCACGTAACAGGCATTCAAAGGTTGATTTCGGTTGATTTGTTTGCATTGTCGTCTGGTTCCCACATGTTCCTACAGCCTGGTACAGCTATGATCCATCGACAAGGGATCGTGCAAACATGTAGTGCAGAGCGTGCAACCGTGTTGCATTTGCATCGTAAGAATCCGTTTGGTTGGATGGTGTGCAATTCGCTGGTTTCCAAGATGTAGCATTCGCTGGTGGATGTTGGCAGTTTCGCATTGTCCAATTCCATTTTTGGTTGGTGCAAACATGTTCAACCCCCATTTTGCTGCTGGTACACTGCTTAAATATCTTAAATCCCCCGGCAAAATCACCGTGGCGTATTGGATCGTGCAGGCGGCTTTGAAGGAAGAACAGCTGCGTCGTGCAGAAGCGGAGGTGACTCGATGGCTGGTGGTTGATGAATGTTGATGATGGTTGATGGTGTTGATTATGTGAGATGATGTTAAATGATGACCAAAAGATACTAAAAGAGCTTGAAGGTTGAAGTTTGAGGATGGTTGAGGATGGTGAAAGCTCCTGACATATTGAATTTTATATGACTTGTTTTAATGCATGAGCTTGATGTGCATTGTGAGTTGTGGTGATGAGGTAGAGGAAGTCAATGATTCGATCACTCTGACTCTGATGATGGAATTCTAGTCTAGTCGAAATCAGAAAGTTTTCGTACGTAGATGTCCATAGCAGATCACAGCAGTACACGTTTATCATCGTTTATCACATTTTGTCACATTTTGTCACATATGCTGAGTTTTTCTGCAGATTTCCATGAAGGAGGATTTGGTGTTGGGAAGTGTGTTTCACAGCTCTTGTCAGGATATGCACCCCATTTGGAGAGTTTATTCCTAGAAATGACTAGAAATGACCATAAAGTTGTGGGTCCATTGGTACCATGCGAACGGTCGCCCATTATTTCATGCACATCCAATCTGGAAATATCTGGAATATGAATGAATATGATGATTAGCCAGCGCCAATGGCCACATTTTTGGACGGTCGCATCGTTTCAAACGATGGTCAAAGGCTTCAGCAGCTTCGGAGAGAAAAGCTCGCTGTGCTGCTGAGGAGGTACTTATATACATGGGAGTGCAGTTGATGGGAATCAAATGGCTATATATGGCTATAACCATGAAATTCAAGCCCCTCAAAAATGTCACTAAGACATTATTTTCCAACATTGGGCAGATGAAGATCCAGCCTGGGAGCCCAACCACTGGATCCATAAAGGAGGTTCATTCTCATAGATTCTGCTGGTTTTTCTCAGCTCGGTGGCTCTTGCTTTCGAACTGTCTAGCGTAAAATGACTAAAGCTGAGATGTGCAACTGTCTTTGGGATTGTAGCATAGAAGCAAGCAACCACCAATTTGTAAAGCAGAGCTAAGATTTGGAAAATCTCCGCAGGTACTAGACTGACGCGACATGACAAAGTGTGGTGTAGCGCTTTCAAAGTTCAATGATTTTTT